ATCTCCTGGAGAAGGGAACAGCTACACACTCCTGGAGAATTCCAGGAGAATTCCCTAGACAGAGGAGCCTGGCAGGCTACATTTCATGCGGTTGCAGAGTTGGGTCAGAGAAAATTTGACACTATCACTGAATAACCAAGAGGAAAGAGGACGTTACTTCCTGTGAGTCTCTGACCTCACCTTATTACAGACCTCTTTCCCCTTCACCTCAACTGCATCATCCTCTTTCAGAACGTCGCTGTTGGCCGTTTCAAAGGTCTAGACCATTTCAAACTCTTCTGGAGATACAGTGAAATTTTCAACTTTTCCCACAGCCTGTTTGCTTAACAACAATCAAATCCAAAACTCTTCATAAAAGTACTACAAGGCTGGGACTTCCCTGGTGGTCCAGCATTTAAGAATTCACCCTGCACTGTAGCAGACACGAGTTCAATCCCTGGTCGGGAAACCTCAGATCCCACGAGCCACAGAGCAACTATGCCCGCATGCCACAACTAGAGAGCCCGGGCTGTAACAAAAAGACCCCAAGTAACAAAATGATGCCACAAAAACCCAATGCAGCCAAACAAGTGAAAATGAAAAACAACAGTTCTGAATTTAAAAATTTTTTAAAGTACTACAAGGCCAAGAAGCAGCTGATAGAAAACACTAGGATTCCTCATAGCTTGCCTTTCTTCTAGTCACCACAGCATCTGTTTTATAGATTTCAGTTTACAGGGCTGTGATCAGAACCAACCCTGGGAAGTCTGGCCAATGAACCTTCTTGGGAGATCCAGGGGACACCAAGAACAAACCTAGCAATGAGAGAACAGGCTCTCAGACACCCTGTGGTTCAAGGATGATATGATTCAAGGAAGGCTCACTGTATCGAGGCCCGGCAAACATCCATCTTATTTCCTCCCAAATAAAAATTAAGTCCAACAGAACAAACACGCAGAAATCCATTTTGAAGGTCTCACATTAAAGGAAGTACAGATCGGTCAAAACCTGCATCTAAAGGAAACGATAGATTACTGAAGATCACTAAGAGGGGTGGGGTGGGGTGGGGTGGGAGGTGGGAGGGAGACATATATATACTTATGGCTGATCCATGATGATGTATGGCAGAAATCAACGCAGTATTGTAATTATCCAATTAAAAATAAATTAAAAAAAAAAAGATGGCTGAAGATCAAGGAAATCACCGTGAGCCCAAGCTAAAATTCTAACTACTGCCTTGCAAAGGAAAGGATGAAATATGGACTCCTCCCTCAGTGGAAATGGATGAGCCTGTCACAAATACAATGAACTAGATGCCTCATTAGGTTCCTTCTCTGAGATTTTATCAACACATTAAAAAAAAAAAATTAAAGCCTTGTGACAGACATACTTCGAATTCAACCGCTGATTGGCACAGGCAAAAACCATACTTGCAAAATTAACTTTTTCAAAAATTTTCATTGCCAAGAAACTAAATTGTCCACCTTTGGGTCATTTAACAAGACAAAGGCCACAATAATACAGAAGAGAAATCTGTCCAAAACAGTCACATATTCAGGAAAACTAAAACAGAAGACACGTAACCTAGGATAATTGAAAAAATCATCAGCAGGATCTCTATCTTTAAAGGAGTGCTATAGAGTGACAAAAATCCTCATTGACTCTCAAGGAGACCACACAAGACAGAGAACAGCATAACCAAATGCCTGCCACTCACTCAAGCTTATTAGCAGTGATAGATGAAAAATATATACAATTATAATCACCATGACCAAGATACTTAACATCCCATAACCAATACTTACTGCAACCAGTGCTTATTCTCAAGACCGTCAGACTTGACTCCCTTAAGACTTCAAGGACTTAGCTTTTCTATAAGAACCTTAATATTTTCTAAATAAAACCTAATTTTACTAAATCAGGTTAGAATGAATTATGAGTGCTTTTACGAGTTTGCAGAGATGATTATTTTACAGTTGGGAAGTGTGTCACATTCACAAATATATTTGTCTTGAACATGCCATAAACACAGATTAAAAATGGAAATGTGAAACCAAGTCTAAATTAAAGAGCTGCGGTAACCTAGTAGTACGCTAACGCTCCTTCTAATAGTCTTGGCACAGGGTCCAGGCACGGTCGGCTCTCTGCTGGGGGCGGCTTTCTTGGCTGTGAAGGAGGATCATGCCCTCTGTCACTCATGGGGAGTAGTTCTGCCCAACTGTCTCTTCTCGACAACTTTATCATCAATCTCTTTATTAACAGCTCCACTGCAGTCAGAAAACGCAAACAAGGACCAGTTTTCATGCCAGATTTCTGGAAATCACATAGCACCAGGCACCACACAGTGTGAAAGTTTGTGAGGAGGGTGTTGTGCCAAGAGAAAGACAGCATCCACAAGGAATAAGCACAAAGTTGGGACATTTTACATTATTATATTAAAATACATCTACCTACTTTCTTATGCCTAAAATCCTGAAAAGAACCTACTCAATATCCACGTTTGTGTACAGGGACCGAAAGGGGGCACAGCAGTAGTACAAGATCACTTTACTTCCCAGAGATAACTTTGTTATTCTGCCTTTCCATAAAATTGATAACCCCTTATATATCATGATTAGAAATTATACAAGGCTGAGACAAATGTCTGCAATGACCTGAATGAAACTCATAAAACTGTCATTTTTGAACTTAAAACACATATTTTGGAACTGAAATCTGTTGAATCAAAAAATAGCATTAACGGAAGTGTTCCTAAAAAGCTTACTTTTAAGACTTTATATATACTTTTTTTTAATTGGGTCATAATCTCACGACTAATATGAAATTTAAAACACCCAAGTTAAGTAAAAACTGAGTATAATGTCTGGTAGTTCTAAGTATTGAGATGCAAGGTACTTAGACTAAGTGATACTTTATCACTGGAACTATTAATTACATCACACTCAGCCCACGACTTAAACCCACTATAGATCAGGATTTACCTTTAATGATTTTCCCTTTTAATCTGTCTTATACTTCAATCTATTGACATATTGAAAAATATATTGAAAAAGTTTGAAAAATATTAAATTTTTCTATTGAAAAGTATCTGTAAGAAAAACAAATTTTTATGTTTTTAAAATTCTAATACTACAACTGAATTTACACTGTTCTAAATAATGCACTTTGCTATAGTGTGTCTTAGGTAAATTGTCTTAAGGCTGTGATGTCTGTGCTCAGGTAGAAAAGGACCTGCTAAGACCAAAGTGGTAGTGTTAACTTCAAGGCCAGGGTCAATCAGCTCTGCGGCTTCTAGAACTGTTTATTCTGTAAAGTTGAAACAAAACCAAGAAACTCTTTCTCTGGTCAACTCTGGGACCCATTAAGAAGGACTGTGAAAGATTTAACATAAATCCATTCTTCCCACTAAAAAATAAAAACAACACATGTAAACAAAAACTCTAAGCTGGGTGGCAAGAAGGAAACTATTTTTGATAAGGCATTATCTTGTACCCTGGGAACATCACAGTAAAAGATATAAAGCTTTGATTATAGCACACACACCGACTGTTCTGTTCTTCATTTCACATATTAGTGAAATTTGAAGAGATCCAAAACAGGAAAAGTGACTGCATGGCCTTATTTACATTATGTTAAAGTATGATTACTTGCAACATCAACATTTTAAGTATTATGTGGCTAAACTTGATAAACTCTTAACAAAACTGTGCCCATTGTAGATACTGGTTTGCAGCTATCTGAACGTGGAGCATTTAAAAAGACGACCAAAGTACAATTACAGTCACAACCTTTCACACAAATGTGAGCTTTCTGAAATAGGAACTTGTGCACAACTATAACTCTACCCTTTTAAGCAAGTCCTATGAACTGAGACAGGACTAGGAAAGGAACAATGCACTTAAAATTCCATCCCTTTCAGCAAATGTGTATGGTGTGATCAGCTGCAAAGAATTTCCCAGAACATTAAGACAAAAGCATGTCTCTAAGGAAAAAAAGCTGAAGTTGAAATGACTTTCCAAGTATTTGAAATCATTTCTAGAATTAAGTACATACAATCACTTCTGCAATACATGGCTCAGAACTACTGATGCCATCGTTCTTGGTGCCAAAAGCTATATAAAATGTCACAAGAATTTTTAAACTGACAACTACGGAGAAAGGATGAATAAATTGATTTTACAAATGAGAAACATATTACACATAATTAAACAGACCACTTGTCTCTATATGACTGAAGGTCATGTTTATTACAGAACACACAAATTTTTTTTTTTGCCAAGTTCAGGTCTGCAATTGAGACAGCATCCATTTGTGATTTTGGTTTGAAGAAAAACTAACAGAAAAGAAATAAAGTGGAGAATTTTTTTTAAAAAAGCAAAACAGCCTTTTACCTCGTTGCAGCCGAGAAAGCAACACGGGTCACCAGCAGCTCTACTGGAGCCATCCAAGAAAATTCGGCCAGGGTTCTCGCCCTTGCCGGGCCTGCTCAAACCGGCATGGTCTGATCCGGAAATACAGCCTCAATACGTGCTGCCAGTGTTTCCGCCAGTATGTGAAGGACATCAGCTTCATTAAGTTGGACTAACTGAACTTCCTTAGATGGCTCATCCAGCACATCAACCTCAGGCGGAAATAATACTAGCTCTTTGTATGTAAAATAAGTTTTCAAAACTTCAAAATAAATAAATAAATAAGCAAAACATATAATTCAGGGTAAAAGGCAATTAATTTTCTTTGTACTATTCTTTTATTTTAAAATAGGCCAAAGTATATCCAAAGGACTGTTCAACGCCTTTTTAGATAAACAGTTTATCTTTTTGCTTAAGTGCACTGAAGTGCACTAATGGTTAAGATTTCCAGGGCTTGGTCTATAAGTTTGTGTATATTAATGATTTATCCTTTCATGTATCAATTACTACTTGGAGCTGCTGATCATTTATTGCCACCTTGACTGCAGCCAGAATTAATACTATGCAGAGTTCTAAAACATTTTTCTGTGTGGAGAAAAAAAAACAGAGGTATTAATTAGAAAAATACAAACTTTATTCCAGAATATACCCAGAACCACAAAACACATTTTCAATTATCATTTTACTAATTCAGCAAGATGCATGAAATGTCAAAAGGCCATACGGGTGACAAAACTCACAAAGTCGCAACAGCCAGTTCCATGTTGGGTGTCTCATCAAAGTAGGGATGGTAAGCTCTATTCTGTACGTGTTAGCAACGGAGTCAAGGGTAGTTTTTAACAAGTTTCTCTTGTTAAATAGTCCCTTGTTGGATAGTCTCTTGTTGAATAGTCCCAAAAGTTAAATGTTCCTTAATAAAAGGTTATTCCACACTGCAATCAGATATTATTTTTACATACAGTAAAGGTATTAGAATCTAGAGTTTCATGAATGAAAATATGCACAACTGCACATCCCGTGAAATAAAAATTTAACATAAGGACGTCAATCCCTCCACTCAAAGCCTCTAAGATAACCATACCCAAACGCTGACCATCACATGCACAGAGAGTCCATTCCTAACCTGTAAGTTATGTATGCCTTGTTGACCATTTAAAGGTTTAAGAAAAGTAGAATCTGATCTGCGTTTAATAAAATGAGAAACGCAGGATCCTAAAGTCACTGAAAAACAACAGTGCCACCTGCTGACATTAGATATAAAGCACCAACTGCTTTGAAAACCACCAGCTTTGAAAGCAAGCACAGCAGCGGTAGGTACACTGCTGTCTACATGGAATAAATACAAAGAAAAGAGACGGTGTCTATACAAACAGAGCAAGTATTTTGGAGGATGGGTCAGCTGAAAATTAATTATCAAGTACTATATTCATGTTTTCTTCCCTAATGACCAATTATAGGAAAAACAAATACCTGATTATGTGAGATATCAATTATTATTAGGCTGCTACTAGTGGCATAAATTAATCAGATATAGAGATTTCCTAAAAGTAACCAAAGTAAATTCTTCAGCAAATCTTCACTGACAGCTATACTATAACTTACGAGTAGCAATAATGGAATCACTGAAAAAATAAAAAAAGTCAGTCAAAAGAAATCAGCCAACTGTGGGATTGTGCTGTTTTTTTTTTTTATTGTGTTTTCAATGGAGAAATACATCATCTGTTTACAAAATAGCTCTTGAAAAATACAAGGAGTACAGATACTATAAAACAAAGCAAACTCCAGTCATGAGACACTACGTACATCATGCGAAAGCAACAGTCTGATCTCCAGGTTATGAAAACTAGAATTAAAAAGTCACTACACAGAAAATGTCCAAGTTCCCAGCTTGGCAAAACTTGGGTGCAGGTACATGAAACGTTTAATAAACTGAATTCTTTTTCCCCAATGTGTAAACAAAATGACAAGACTAAGTCTGTGCCTGGCGGTTTCGATCTAACTCAGCTACCGAAGCACACAGCCGCCCTGCAGCCTTCACCTGCTGGCCTGACCGTCTCGTCCGCGCGGGCGCTGGGGCGGCAAGGCGGCTGTGCAGGGCCAAGGTGTGGGAAGGAGGACACTGTGTGCTAGAGACTACAAAGTATGGCGGAAAGAAAGCCGCAATTAATGCGTAGCCTGGGGGGGGAAAGACTACACTCCAACTCTGGAAAATTAATTTAGAGGGAACAGGGAAGAGGTTAAGTAATTGCAGTTTAACATGAAAAATGCACATGTGATAGAATGGAGCACAATGGAGGATTCATAAAACATGCTCACCAGAAAAATGTTAGGTTTGCTTTGTCCAGATTAAGAAAGAATAAGTTTATCAACATCTGGCTTCCCTCATGTATTTGTAAAGATGAATGCTCTGCTGCTTAATTATGAGGAATTATTTACTGAGAGGATAAAACAAAACAGAAAAAGGAGTAAAGAGCTGACTAGATGTCAAGTGCTTGCTAGAAATGATTTTTAAATGTTTCCACATGTAAAATTTACTGACAAGTTTTGGTCAACCATTTAAAAATAAAAATTAGTTTAAAATTCTTGGAGAAAATGCCTTTTTGCCCACATTTAATATTGAAAATCAACTTTACTATAGACAGGAGTTCTGTGGAGTGTACAAAATTCCTCATATTTAGAGATCAAACGGCCATCCAAGATAGATATCATGTTTCACAGGCATTATTTTTAGTCACCCTAAAGTTTCAGCCATGGGACCAAAATTTAGTGTTCTGTGCCATACAGCCACAGAGTCACTGGTTTCACATCATGGCTTAAGAAAATACTGGCATTTTGTTTTTTTATGAAAGAAGTCCTACCTTACACATACAAGCAAAAGGGGTAGGGGGAGGGAAGAAGAGGGAGGGAGCAAAAAGCTTGGTTTCAAAGACAACAGATTGAAGGCAAAAGAATATAGAGCTTTAACAAGCTCAAAGAAAAATATTTGCTGGCTGATCGCTGATTTGTATGCACTCTAAACATTTCTATAAATAAAAACCAATATCATTTCTTAATCATGACCCCATCAAAACGAAGTATTTCCTAATTATGCTTTCAATGTCAAATATATACCCTAGTGTTGACATTTCATTTTAAAGGTTACAGCTACCTCAGAGGGACTGACCTAGATGTACTCTTATCCTTTCTCTGAAGCATAACAATACACCACTGCGCAACGGCATCCGATTTGAAGACTAATGGTAAAGGAAATTCTTCAGGAAAAAATGAAAATCCATCAAGCTGAAAATCTAAAATTATTTCTACTTTCTAATAATAATAAAAAAAATACATAAAAGTGCATCATCAGAATAAAGAATTCTTATGCCAGTTTGTATTGCAAATTTTCCAAACAATGCAGCAAACATAAACCCAGTCCAGATGTCAATTATGAATACAAATATAGCTTGAGGTTTTTTTTTTAAAAGGCAGTAATTTTTTGAAATAGTTAATGCAACTGTTGCTAACACAATAATAATAGTACTCCTGGCTTCACATACTAACCTGGACTTCCGATCAAGTGCTGATTAGCCCAGTAAGGGAGGTCACAAAAAACCCTCAATCCACTTTCAGTCATGTCTAGTCTTGCACCCTCCATTCCTTTTTTAGCATTTGAAGACAACAGGTTGAGTTGGCAGACATTGTTTCTGGACCCCTGAGGTTGTTTTTACCGATTCAATCTCAGTTTTATTGAATTCTTGATAACAGGAATAGGGTTTGCAGGGAGAGCAGGGATATCAGAAAGGTCTGTACTGGATGTTTTCTGAGAATAAAAGCAAAGAACACAACATTGTTCAAAGTACTGTAACTTATCAATGAGATTGATTTTTCACTGCTTTACTTCCTAAGAAATGGAGAGGACCTTCTCATAAGAATTAAAATCTTAAAAACACTCTAAAATGTTGTTAAAATGGAGCACAAAAAAATATGACTATTACTACAAAATTGTTTTAACACTTGTAGAAATTTTCAAGTAAGGAGCAGGATTTTGGTAACATTTTAAGCAATATACAAAAACTAAGTAAGTTTAAAAACAACTGTAATAAACACAGTCCTCCAACAGTAACCTATCATGCGCCTACTGAGTTATGCTAAGTGAGAGCACTGCCAGTCATAGTATTAATCGGCACTGGCGCGCCCCCATGTGGGAGAACACTTAAGGTTCCCCTGACACAGGAGCAGCAGCGAATGTATTCTTTTCTGACTCTGTCAATTAAAATTTAAATCTACACAACTGAGCAACAGTTTGATTTATTCAAAGTTTAGGGCAGTTTTATTATGTTAAAAACAATTACTCACAAAGCCTTCTTTAACAACAAAAAAAACAAGATGGCATTTTTAATTGTTTTATTATGGAAAATTCCAAACATACACAGAAGTAAAGCCTTATATAAAGAGTGCCCATGTATTCATTACCAACTTCATCAAAGCCAATCCACTGTCCTCCCACCTTTACTCCCAGATTATTCTGAAGCAAATCCCAGAGAGCCTATCATTTCATCTGTAAATATTTCAAGTTTATCTCAAAGATTCACTGTTAGACACAGTCACAATATTAATACCTCCCTTATATCACCAAATAGAGATTAAAAAATTTTTTTTAAATCAACGTAACTTTTTATATTATATGTATAACTTGGTGATTTTTCTCTCAATGGTTCTAGGGATCTTTTCATTAGAAAGAAAATTCTAATTCCTTATAAAAATATCTAAAAGGCAAACACCCGAGGGTACGAATCACAGAGGGATGAAGTCAACAAAACAAACTATGAAAGTAGTTCCCTAGAGATTAATGTGGCTAACCAAAAGGCATGCAGGCACAATCACAGAACTGAATTTTGATAAACAAGTTTGTCCGTGTATCAGTATCAACTACAACACTTCCTAATGTTGCTGGAATTACTCCACCCCACCCCCCAAAGTTTTTATTAGCTAAAGGTTATGAAAATAAAACATTTCAGAAAGTAATCATAGCATTTATATCAAGAGGAACTATGAAGGTTAACAGCCAGCAAAAACTCATCTTAAAATCACCACATTAAAGTAACTCTGAGCCACAAAGCAGCACAGTGTCAACTGTCTCATCAATCCTGCAGCATCACTGGGCAGTAGCTTTGTGGAGGTTAACCAGTTTAATGTCTACTTAAAGGAAGTAGTTACTTTGTGTCAGAGTCTGACCTAGACTTTGGAGTATATTCAATTTGAAAGGATTCAAGAAGAAAACAATTATTTCACAAACAAAATGAAGGTTCACAAATCAATGAAGAGAGTCCAAGTGTCTACTGTACGCAAGGGACTGTCACAGTAGAATTTCTAAGACAAATGAAAAAACAGCTTTAAAGAACTATGGATTACACTAAATAAATAACTGAAAAGCAGAGGTGAAAAGTGAAGCAGAAACAGATTTTGAAAATAAAACATTTTTCAAGCAATCCATGAAGAAGGATTTTAAGTTCTAATTTAAAGTTCACTCTCTGACTTAAAACCTCCAGGTGAAGACTGCATATTGTGCAGTGAGGATTTAAATGATCTGCAGTGTCAAATAATATAAAAAGGGGACGAGTTAGCATCCTGACTGTGCAAAAGAATGGTTTGATCACAACCAGTGCTCTATCTCTGAATACTAGAAATATATTTGTAGGTGAGCACTTACTTTCAAAAAGATAATTTCAATAAACTTCTGATGTGCTCACTTTCATTATACGACACTAATCTTAACAACACTTATAAAGTTCCCCTTGCTTTTTGCACTTAGTACCTGAGAGGCCAACAGAGAAGTCGCTGTCTGAATGGTTTCTGATTGAGTTGTACTTGTCTCTGTATCAAGTTGTTCCTGTGAGACAAAGAGGACGGGGGAGGAAAGAGACTTAAAAAAATGATAAAAGAACATAACTGGGTTTGGTGGTTAATAAAAAAAGACAAATTGGAAGACAGGAGGGATCAAGAGAAAGATGTGACTACATTACAAAACCATCTATCACATCAAATGGTTAATCATCAAAAGAAAAAAACAAACCTTATAGGTTATTTAACCATTTCAGATACACATGAATTTCTATTTGCCTACTTAAACTTTATAAGGCATGCTCAAAATATCTCATGACTTTCCAACCAACTTCAACTTGGATATTTTAAACAAGCACTAATTAAAGACACATATATGCATATTATGAAATGTTGCCCAGATGATAATTAACAGAATATAAACCCAAGCTCAGCTTTAGCTATGTGAAAAAAATAAAACCAATTCAGTATTATTAAATGAAATTACCCAGAAGCACAAAAACTGTTCTAAGGCCTTTAATTAAAAGAAGAAAATGTCTCTAAAACATTCCTTCTTCCTTTTGGTTTCTCTTCCCCTTCTCAATAACCAATGCACTGATTCTACTCTGAAAATCATCAGAAAATACAGGGTGAACTGTGTCATTCCACTGCCCTAGCTTTTTTCAAAGCAGTGCACAAAAAATAAGAGATATGCACATGTAAATGAAAATAAACATACAAAAATGTGAATTTTTATAAAATATATACAATAATAAAACTACAAAATACCAAATTTCTCCTGTGACACTGAAAACAGTAAACACTGCAGTAGAAATGGAGGAGTGCAGTCTCTGAAGCATACCTTAGCAATACATGTTAACTTTTAAAAACATCTATTTGTCCCAGTAATTCCTCTTTCATTAATTTATCCTAATAAACATAAATGGATGGTAGATATTTAGATATACTGTAGGAAAGGGCAATTTCCCTTTTTTAACAGAAATAATTGCTAACAATAGGCAACTAGGTGAATAAAATAGGGTTTAACAGCCTTAAAATAGCATCCAATGCACCTGTAAGTAATATTTGCAGATGATGCAATGGCGTAACTATTTTTCTTGCTTTGTAGAGTAAAGATTTGAAAGCAGAAGGCACTGGTATGTGTAGGTACAAACAAAACCTATAGACACCAAAAAATATTTGCTAACATATCGATCTGGATATTTGGGAGAAAGGAGGAAGATTTGCAATTTTTCTACAAGGAGAAAAAATTTTAAAGCTTTCAGTACACTTCAATTTCTGAAAAAAATAATATTTAAAATCTAATACTTGGCTACACCAATCTTTCTCATCCCATCTACCTTGATTCAAGCCCCCTTCACACCAGGTTCTAGCCAGAGCCATGTGCCAAAAACTGGCTCTCTAAATATACCACACTCTCACATCAAGAGTGAGATGACCTTCTCATCTTATACTACCCCAAACCCTATGAATCCTTCAAGAATCACTCCAAATACTATGTTCTCCTTTCTGTGATGTCTTTATTATTTCTGCAGTCTTGCCTCTCATCACCATCAACTGCTTTCATTTTTTTTAATGTAATCAACCACATCTACCACTTATCTTCTCTACTTAAATATAAGTTCCATTACAGGCAGGAACATCTCACTATTCTATTCCATTCAGTGCCCACCAGATAACCCCACATCTAGGAGAACTTCACACACTTGAAGAATTCAATTTCGATGCCGTAAATGAGTATTAAAAAGGAACAAACACATCTCTAGAAACAATACTGAAAACCTAAAGCCTACAGAACAAAATACAGTATTCTGAAGACATTTCTATCACATCTTTTATATGTGTATGAATTCTGAGGCTAAATTAGTATACCTTTGTTTCTGTTTTATCATGTCCACTCAAAGCAAGACAGTTAGCATCTTCACTTGTTTCATCCTGTTTTTAAGAAAAAAAGCTTTATTCTCTAAAATGAAAATTTAGATTTTTTTTTGCCAATGATTTATAAAAAATTTTACAGTATAAAATAATTAATTTATAAGATCAAGTATGTCCTTAAAACAGAAAACTGGTTTGCTTAAATTTTTTTTTCATGAACAAATTTGGCTTTAAAAAGAACATGAGGAACACTGCCATTGTTAATCAGTCATCGACAGAAGTATATTCCCCAAACTATGAACTTCATAAAATACCTTTTTTGGAAGGAAGAGAAAAAAAGAGCTCATTGATCAAACATAGAACTTGGAATACTATCCCCTCCTTTTTGGGAGATTCATATATATTAATACATAAAAGGTTCTGAGAAGCTCTAGAAAGACTGTCTCTTTAACTTTCCCAAACTTAATTTAACCACACAATCCCCTTTGCTTAGTGTTTAACATCCTGGAGAAGGCCTAAAAAATGTTCTCCTCAGGTCTTTTTTTTTTTCTCCCCAATTTATTATAATTCTATTTAAAACAAGTTATTTTTGGTAAAGAGGAGAAATGAGAAACCAAAAATTGCTGTACTTTCTCATTCCTGTAGTGAGTGACTTGGAATAAACATCACTTTCTTAAGAAAAACATTTTGACACTAACTTCTCTACTCTCCTTACTGGGCAGAACTAAAATTTATTTGTAAATGTGGCTTTAAAACAAGACATAAAAAACACAGCTAGCTTACAGAGTAGAAAAGACTTAACATCAGTATCGACCAATTCCCTGAAGGACTTTTATTTGTAACCTGCAAACATACAAACTTAAAAAAAAGTAACTTAAGTCACAACTGAGCAAATTTCAATACTGACTGGCTCTGTGACACTACAGAATTATTATCACTATCAGTAAATATAATGATAGGTGTATACATATATATGTATACATACATGCACACACATGTTATCAGTATATTTACCAATATATATATAAAATCACACACAAATATTTATGATTGAAATGACACGCTTGGGATTTGCTTCATAACAATGGCAAAGAGAGATCTGTAGATGAAACAAGACTGGCCCTGAGGTGTTAACTGTTAAAGCTTAAGTGATGCAAACATAACTTGTTCATTACAATTTCGTATATGTTTGAAATTTTCCATAACTTAAAAATTATATATATACATATATACACACATATATACACACATATAGAGCAGCATTTAGCCATAGAATTCAGGTAATAAGGCAAACTTTTTCTATATTGATTTTACATTTTTATCAAAAAGATTTAGTATACGATAAAAATCAAGCAAAAAGCAAAAGTAAACTGCCTGACAATACCTAAAATATCTGTACACGTGTTAGTATACTATTGAGCAGGCCAGTGCTTCTTTCTGGCTTACTCAAACTTCTAATACTAAGTGCTCATTAACAAGTAATGAAACACCTAGTAGGAGACCTTCAAAATCAAAACATTTGTAACAGACTTTTTCACCTTTAGCACCACAGCGTGTAGGCCTGAGTTCTAATCCTGACTCTGCCTTTCATTAGTTTTATAAATGGGAAAGTTATTGAACCTCAAGTTCCTCTTCTGGGAAAGGATTAGTATGAGAAGACCTAAAATTCTAAGATCCATTCCATATCTTAAAATTCTACTTCTGTTAGTCAACTCCACAAAGTTGTCCTGAGTTAAGATGCAAACTGTGAGAAAATACATAGAACAAAAAATTATAAGGGGGAGAGGGCAGCGATGAACTGGTATTTTTAAAGACACTTAGGAAAAATCAATCAAGGATCTTACTTACAGAGTTGAATAAATAAAAACTACTAAAAAAAAATCAATGACACAATCATGGGCATTTGAGTACTCACTAGATACCTGATCGCTCATTTTTTTTAGGTGGGCTTTTTTCCCTTATACTTTCTTCCCTGTAATTACTACCTTTTAGATACATGAGTTTAAAAACACGAATGAAATAATATGACTGAAGTCTGACTTTTGCATCTAAAGAATCCAAGCACAGCGGAAACGGAAAGAAACAGAATGAAGGGCACAGGGACGGGCTGAGCTCACCACACCTGAACTGCATGGCGGGCACTTCTGTGTGTATCTGAATTTATTTAAAAATTAAATGATCGCTTGTGTATATTTAAATTTTTCCATATGAATTTTAAAAATTCCTACTGCCTCTCTAAGCTAGACAGGAAACAAGAGTGTTTTCTACCAAGGTAAGCACAAACGAAATTTTAAGAATTGTGCTGATACATATTTTGAAACTCTCACAGGGAAAGGAATCAGGCAATTAACATGAAGCAACAGAATGATAGGTATCTAGAGTTATGCTTACATATACCTTACAGGCAAAAAGAAACATGAATTGTGAAATGCTCTGACAACTCAAAACAAGCATCAATAGACAGAAAGTGGTATTACATTAAAACTACATTCTTAAGTTGCTGCCCAACAGTATCATGGAGAACTGGAGTCTTTAATAAAAACATTAGTAGGTCTAATTCTTGGAGAGTCTGATTCAGTATATTTGGAGGAAGCCCTAAAATCTGTATTTTAAAAAGCAAAATCAGAACAACAAAATCTGAAAAACTGAGGTTGAAAATCAACTTGCCTTGAGATAATTACAGAGACAAATGTGTTTCAGAATACACGGTACAAAACATGACAGACTATACCCATTTCTCATTCTCATTTAGCACTGTCAGAGTGACAAAATTCATTACATTATTCATATTTAGTGAACAGTGACTGTTTCCAAAAAAATCTAAACCAAAAGGATTCAGATTAAGCTTGGAATAACACTTTTGGAGACAATAATCTTTTACCATTAAAAATCAAATCACTACATAAGAGCCCTCCTTTCTTGCCAACATTCTAAAGAAACTTTCATGTAACGAGGAAGTTCCTAAATAACAAGCTATCAGCCAAAAATCTTAACAAAATTGTTATCTTGGGCTGTCATCTCTGGGACAATGGTGAATGATTCATTAACAGAAAAACACATTGTTCCAGGGAACAACGAAAGTGTGTTACAAGGCTACTTCTATTTTAAGATAAACACCAAAATCAATGTACACTTTTAACAGTTTTCCTAAAACTATCTGAGACTTTGACAAGGTAAACCAACCACTATGAAAAGTGGAAGTACTACTACAAAATTTCCTGAAGGGCTGGAGGTTATAATCACAATCATTCAAGGTACCAAAACTAATCTGATGTGGTAACTTATGGCCAGGCATTCAGTAAGAATTTCCTGAGAACCTCTCAGTGACCCTTTGATACCAAGTACAGTGGAGAAGCTCCAAAACTCCACCTGGAATACAGAAGCAGAAAACTGTGTCCAAAGGGCTACTGAAGAATTGGTACATGTGAAAAATACAGTTATGAGAGAACAATACGTTAAGATGACATGTATACCCATTCTAAAGTGTGTTATAGCCTAAACATGATACAGAAATTTTAACAAGAAACACAGCTTCATGAAAGAGTTAGTTACTACAAAGAGTGGGAAAGGGTAAAGAGCAAACTATGGCACTGAAGCACTATCAAAAACAATCTAAAAGCTTTCCTCCTTGCTGCTTCTAAATTTGGGCCCACAAGGGTTTCTTCCACTGGATTTTAAAACAGGCAAGGTGCTTCCTCTCAAGACTGACTAATAGATAGATACCTCTTCTGTTTTGGTTTTCTTGGGGCTCTCGTCTTTATGAGGTGAGGACGTCCTCTTGACTCCTACTATAGGATTAGCTATCTTTGCTGCTGCATTTCCTGAAGGTCTCGGTGGTGGGTTTACCAGACGTGTTGAGGAAACAACTCTGGAGACCGTAGGCTTTGGTGGTGATGAAATGGCTGGTTGTGTGGCAGTTTGAGGAATGCTTTCACTCGATGTACCTAAGTAGTAAGTATATAAATACATAAAAGCTAAATCACAGAACACCAAGTTACAAGCTTTCTATTTTAAGTCTACAGGGAAATAAAATAGTAATAAAAAACTAAATTCAAACTATTTAACAAACAAAGCCATTTTTCAAAACGAAGGCTAAAACCAAATACAATGTAAGTATTTCCGTATCTGGCAATCTCCTTACCCCCTGAGCTTTCACTGGAATTTACTTGTGGCACAGAAACTTCAGTAGCCTGTATGTTGGTCACAGATGCTGCTGTTACAGCTGGAGCAGGACTGTTTCTGCTAAAAATGGGGAGCAAAAATTAAAAAGTGAAAAGTGAAAAAAAGAAAATAGAGATAAATAAAACTCAGTAACAAAATCTAATATGTGAAGTTATTTTCTAAAGCAAATGATTGATTCTTTAGTTTTATTTCTCATATATATGTATACATCAGTAACTAACTTTGACAAAATATAATCAACAATCAAAAGCACAGAAACATTTTAAAGCAGTGCTGCTCGACAGCATTTTTGCAACTATGATCTATATCTACGCTAACCAGCATGGTAACCACTATACACAGTTAGCTACTCTGCACCTGAAATACAGCTAATGGGAAACAATGTCTGATTTCATTTAACATTAATTAAACTGGCACATACAGTCAATGACTACCATATTAGAAGAGCTAAAAAAAAGATCTGGTCTTGTTTGATTTAGGATAACTCACTAAATGATTAAATGATTTGGGGTATAAGAAAATACTATCAAAAGCTGTAAAAGAAGAAAATGGTCTGAGAAATAAGATTTGACATGCACACCTAAGGGTTCATGAAATCCTAAAAGGCCATCCAGTGGCCCAGATAAACAACAAATGATCTCAAAACCCAACCTCTCCTCAGTGTTCTGGATCCCACTCACCCTTTGTCTCGGGAAACTCAAATCACCCCTCCTTCTATCTCTAACTTTTCTGTCAAATAAATCCTGTATCTCCTGTGGTTATTCACTCTCCTTCCACTATAACTTCACTCTCCAACTGCTGAACGCCATGTCAAGGTGGGCAAAACTAGAGACATGGATTTTTGATGCTTACAAGACATGCACAAGCAGCAAGAGCAGTCCGCTTGTTCAAGTTCTGAGCTCACTGGCACATGGGAGGACACGAGGTCAGGGGAGTGGGTGATGCCACACTCTCAATGTGAATACAGAGAAGGCATAAAAGACTAACAGAGAGCACTGAAAAGGCACAAGCATCTAATGATTAAACAGGAAAGAAAAAAAAGAGAACCACCACAGATGCAAGAGAAAACCTGAAATAAAATAGCAAAGGACAGTACATAATAAAGAGCTGAGCAAAGATCTATCTTACATACAAGTGAAAAGACTCAAAGTACACAAAGGTTTTTATACAACTTCCAAAATTTGTTAAAATTTTTGCTTCTTCACTCAAAAAACAAACAAAAAAAACAGATGGAACCATTAAAAATACAAATCTGGAAGTTAATGCTGTACAAATGCAGAATTGCTTTAAAACTACAAGATTTAAGGACCAGGTTGATGCCCAAAGACTTCAGATTATGTATGACCAGCCTAAAAACACATCACACATTCAAAGCCAAAGAGAAGAAAACTAAATTCCCATCATCCATTGCACCTTGGCATTTTCTATTTCATGCTAATCCAAAAATCCATCCCAACCTGCATCTTTGCCATTGGCTATTATTTAACAATATACCTTAACAATTCAATTTTTAAAATAGCTCTTTTCAAAAAAGAAAAAATATATAACATGCATTCAGAAAAGTGTTCCTGGTTTAAGTATCAACTCACTAAACAAAGTGATCAATGTAACCATCACAATTTAAAATACCAGCAGTGCACCCAAAATCTATAACAGCCCCCTTTGAAAATACAGCAGTATAACCATTAGAAAAAAAATCTGCAATGATACATTATGAAGATTCATAGAAGTTAAACATAAATATGGCTTTTTCGTTCTAATTTTTGCCACCACAGCCATGTTTTTTCTTCAAGATAAAAAGGTTCAGGTGCTTTGTGAAAGTTGGTCAGTCGTGTCTGACTCTTTGAGACCCACAGAATTATCCAGGCCAGAATACTGGAGTGGGCAGCCGTTCCCTTCTCCAGGGGATCTTCCCAACCCAGGAATCGAACCCAGGTCTCCCGCATTGCAGGTGGATTCTTTACCAGCTGAGCCAGGAGGGAAGCCCACGAAGACTGGAGTGGGTAGCCTATCCCTTCTCCAGCGGATCTTCCTGACCCAGGAATCGAACCGGGGTCTCCTGCATTGCAGGTGGATTCTTTACCAACTGAGCTATCAGGGAAGCTGCTCTAAATGCTCTTAAAGAGACAATTCTTCAAAAGAAATTTCCACTAAAAAAAGCCCACATAAATCTTCTCTAGATCTCCAGTATTTTCAGATATTTACCCCCTGCTACATAGGTGATAAGCATCTCCGGGACAGAAATGTGGTTGCGTCCCTCTTTCTTGTTCCCCTTAGCACACCATGTAGCTCACCATAGGCAATAGGTATTTCAACTTAAGAAACTGGTTATTCCAACAGCCACTGCACTTCCTTTCCCTTTGCCTTACCCCTGAGAGCTGCCAGAACTGTTCAATGGACTGGTCTTCATAGCACTAGTAGGTGAAGGCACAGACATGCTGTTATCACTGTCCATAGACAAGTCGAGGCTGCTGTCATTCAGAGGTGTCAACTTGACGCCTTCTGTTGAATGCTGCAATCAATCAGTATTTAATTAATTATACCTTTATGTTATCCAGATCTCTGAAACACAAACATCTTTTACTTAACAGATAAGTGACTTCTACTGAAAAGCATAAATCAATAAGGTTATGATAACCGGAAGTGTCATGCCAAAATACAAAAGGCAGATTTGGGACACATACTTTCTGACTTCTTGGGGTCCTCGATTTAACTATAGTTCCTCGGGGGGAGAAAAATGATATATTAAACATACACACTGAATGCAGGACACACCTCAAAGTAAAAAGCACTTTAACATGAAAACACATGTGACTTAAGTCAGAGGACTATAAACACACACACGTCAACAGTAAAAGACGAGAGCAACAATGAGCATCTCTGGCTGGTGGGATCAGAAGTCATTTTTTGTTTACAGAGTTCAAACTGTTCTACAACAAAGATAAAAAAATGTATTAATTTTTTAAAAAATCATCAAGTAGTACAACTCAGTGCCTATTCCTAGTTATTTGTACGAGCCTCTCTGAAAAGCAAGAGACTGCCAGAGCTCTATCTGCAGCTTATGATTTTAACATGGTACATTTAATAGTATAAATTATCCTGTTAAAATAAAACCAAAAATCATTTCCTAAAAACTTAATGACCACACGTAAATCCAAATGTTGATCCTGACTCTTAAAGCACTCAAAAACAGTTACTCATTGCAGGAAAAGCAAAAGCTAAAAAACTATGAATAGTGCTATTCGATAAAAGTTTATTTTAAATTGACTTAAAAGTTTCTATTTCTGCACTCAGCACTACTACAACATCAAAATGATTTCTTCATCTTTTTCAGAACACTTTTAGTTTGTGTTCACTCACCTACAGAAACATTTTAATGGAAGTAATTTGCATTATTAAAAATAAAAACCCATATCTCATATGTATGTGCGTGCCTGTGTGTGTGTGTGTACAACGCATGTACACCCACTCCAATTCCCAAATGACAAGATAACCTAATCTTTGAGTGAATGCCTCAGAGATACCACTTGTGTACATAAATCAATACTGACCAAATGGGGAAGATGAGATTTAATCATACTATCACCATACAAAGCAATACCAACCAGACACTTAGTAACTGTAATATAATCTGGATAAATGGTCACAAAATTGAAAGTACCCCCAAAAAGCAGGTCACAAAAGAGTACGTATCATTAAAAACCTCTTAAAAAAATACACATAATCTGCGGTTACATACATGCACTAGGAGTCTGTATAGATATACACTAAAATGTTGAGACAGGTGAAACTGGCAGTGAGATTATGGTTAAACTCTATTTGATACAATTTTTGGACTACATAAATTTCTGATCACTAATGATACATTTTATAATCCAGAAGACTTTATCTAGATATTACCTTAAGTAATAGAATAAAAAATTAATTTACTTTAATTACAATCTAGTTGTTCCAAATATGAACACTGACATGTAAACAGGAGTTTTACAAGTCTTTAATCTGAATTAAAGGTTTTAATTCAGTTTTTAATCTGAATTAAAGGTTCAGGAAAACCTAATTTAATTCCTTTATAAATATTTCTATTTCACTAAAATGGCTAAGCATGGAAGAACATAATCTAATTATGCACATTCACTTCTAAAAACACATAAAATGTTTATATATTTTTGTATGCAGTAAACACACACATAAGTACCGTTGTTTAAACCCATTAACAATATAACACCAAGGTACAATCAGAAGACAAACTTTTATTTTAAAAATAAAATAATTTAATGATAAATTTTATGTTAACTTTATGACAAAAAATAATAAGCTCAATAATAGGAAATACATTTTGTCACTTTCTAGATTTGATAATTCATGAGAAGTGAGTAACAAATAAGTGTGTATAAAGGCTTTAATGTAATGTTATTTTTAAAAATGAAATATACTTTTATGCATTTTACACCTAAGAAAATAGTACCTCTATGTTATGAATGATGATGATGGTGGTGATAACAGAAACAAATCTGAGCTTTCAGTATATGCCAGGCACTAGTTTTACAGGTATAGGTACATTTTATCCTCACAAAATGCATAATAAGGTAGGTAAAATTACCATGATTTTAAGGCAAATCAAGAACATGATATTTATAATACAACTTGCCCAAGTCTCAAAGCTAGATGGCAGTGGAACCTGAACTTGAACTGTGTGTTAACTTCATTCCTTTCTTCCCAATCCCAGGCCCAGACAATAAATCATCATCCAGAACGCAACAGTCCTTATCCTCTAACACATACTTTTATTTCATATTCTATCTTAAAAAATATATTGCAAACCTATGTATATATATATGAATATGAATATCATTTGATACTTAAAAGTATCATCTGTACTTTTAACCCAACATATGTATCTCGAGCTCATGTATTTTCACTGCTGTATTTCATTTAAGAATAAGACACTTTGGAAACCACTTAAAGTAAAAATGTAATTGTTATTCTGCACTAAAATTTTAATAAGTACACTACAGGAAGTCCAAATCAGAAAAACATGGCTAACAAAAATTATCCAACATTAAGTATCAACAACAGTAGAACATACTACAAAACATTAAATCTGGTTACCACTGCCAGTCATCTTATACCCAATAACTTCTAATTTTTAAATAATATACATGTGTAATTCTTACGAAAATAAAATCATTTTCTTTTAAAAAGTCATGTAATTCACTTGAACTACATATTATGTAATTTAACTTTCTTTACTTTTCAAAGGAAAGTACATACTAATATGTGATGTTAAACTGATAAGAAGAGATTTCTGAAAAGAGAACACAAATATATATATATAAAATAATGCTGTGAAGCACTTCAACTAATCTGAAGTCTGAAGGAAGTGTGTGCAAGAAACTGATTAGGAGCAAAGTTTCATGTAACGGAATTTCCCCATATAAAAGATTTTCAAAGTGCTGTGATCTATTTAAAATACAACTCATCAACTGAGCCTAAATTCTGAAATACTGATAGGCTGGATACATAAAACATGGATTAGTAATGCCTTTTAAGTACCATCTAAAGTTACCTTTTTCTTTTTCTGAAGCACATGACTAGGTAGTAGCTGATGGAGTTGCTTTCTTTTTACATGCATTGCAGCAATTTTCATGTCCACCTCAAACATCTTGCTGTTTATTGCTTGCCTATAAACTATACAAATTAGGAAATTGTTACGAGCAAAAACAACATGCTAAAAAAGGCAGTTAAACTCATTCAGGAGAAGCTAAAGTAGGAACCCATTCTTCATCAATATACTGCCTATCAATAAAATTATCTGATCAAAATGTCATCTTTGATCTGACTTAATTCACTGCCTGAGCGCAAACTCTAATAAATGTCTTTTACCACAAGGTATACATAATAAAAACAGAATATATTAATTCTTGCAGTGTAATAACTCTTAGAGTAATAAGAGAGTTAACTCCTTGAGGAGTGACAGAATTGGAGAAAAGGGGTTTCTTAAATTCATATTTATTTATGCTAGCAATGTAATTTAAAATTCTAGACCAAGTATGTAACAACTGCAATAAAACAAACGCCAGAAGGTCCCCAAATGGAAAATATCACATGTTCTTAACATGGGGAATATAGCAGGAAATAAGAGACCAAAAGAACCTCAAACTTCACATTCTAGTGGAGAAACAAAGAGAAAAAAACATAACGTATATTTCATATCAGATGGGTGATAAGTGCTATGGAGGAAAAAACTGAATAGGGGAAGAAGACAGGAAGCTCAGCATGGAAACAGATTACAAGTGAGTGGAGACTCGCATGAAAGTTGGTAAATAAGCTCAGTGTACCTTGTGGGATCCTTTCTAGGAAGAGCAAACACCAAGAACAAAAGGTCCTGAGCATGCCTGGGATGTCTGAGGAATGACAAAAAGGCCATGGGGAGAAGGGAAAGTAGAAGATCCATAATGCCTTATCTGTAACCCTAAAATCCCCAATGACAAATTCTGATCTGAACTATTTGTGGCTATACTGTATGTAAATATTGTATAGAAATATTACTGTCTTAGACTATAGAATATTGCTCCCCACTGGAAATATTATGTTTATTACTTTCCTGACTTCAAGACACAAGGATAAAGGATTCTGAACTTATTACAAGTTCTATATACAGATATAAAGAAATATATATGTGCACAATTACAAAGAAATGAGGTCAGAGTCATAATGAGAAGACTAGGTCAATAAAGGCTTGCAAACCACAGTAAGGATACGGACTGATTCAGAGTATGGGTATTCTTTTAGCAGGTGAGACGTGATTTAGCTTAGTATTATTCTGGATGCTGACTGAGAACAGCTGAAGGGCAGAGTAAGAAAATTACAAGAATGGCAGTAATCCAAAAGACCAGTGATAAAAGGCTTGGACTAGGGTAAAAGCAGTAGATACAGCAAACAGTAGCAAGAATCTCAATGTACTCTGAAAACAGGGACAAATTTTTTTTTTTAATAGATTAATACCAAGTTTGGGGAGAATAGGATTCAAAGACTGCAAGATTTCTAACTTGAGCAACTCTAAGTTCACAGCTGCCAGATCTCAGTTCTCACCTGAGATTAAAAAGATTTAATGCTAAAGGAGAGGGACAAGAATTGGAGTTTTTAACATGTTACATTTGTTCTGTTAGAAAATCCCACAAAGTATTCCATTAAAATGTTTCAAGATTAAAAAAAAAAAGTTTCAAGATACAGGACAACTAAATATTTCTTTCTCCAAATATCTTTAATATGCTATAAAATCTTGATGGCTCATGAGTACAAACCATGATAAGCAGTTCAACGAGGTATAATCCTCAAGACAAATTTTCTAGTCCAAGTATCTCTACATGATTTGTTACTTCTATAGAGCCTTAGCTTCTGCCAACTACTGCTAGCAGTAAGGTTTTAGTTAAACCATACTACCTTGTATCTCGGGCCAATCCAAAATGTAACTCATACTGTATTCCCTATTCATGAATTGGAAAAGGAAACGGCAGTCCACTCCAGTATTCTTGCCTGGAGAATCCTCATGGGCAGAGGAGCCTGGAGGGCTACAGTCCATGGGGTCGCAGACTTGGACACAACTGAGCGACTAAGCACATTCCTGAATTAAGACTTGAGTCTGTCACTGACAGTGAGGATAAATAACCTCATTTCACCAAAGCGTAGCTTCAAAATTTTCTAATGTTCAAGACTATTAAGGCAATCAGACACAGACTCAGTCTTTTAAGAGAATCAAATAGCCTGGCTATTTCTAATTTCATAAAGTATTCACAGGCAACTTAAAGTGGTTCAACTGTTTAATTTTAGGTCTACCACAAAAGAAAAAAAATTTTTAATGTTAGACATTACTGAAACTAATACCTAATCCAAAAATACTAAGGTTATTTTGATGTTCACTGTAAAATATTCCCCAGTAACTTTAAGTTATTACAAATTCTACTATGGTATACATTGAAGACAATTCAAATATGCAAATACATGTTTTGATTATCCAAGGAGAAATATACCTGTATCTGTGAAAGACTGAATATCATAGGTGAGATCAACACTGAGATTTTCAGAATTTTCTGTCTTTTTAAACACTAACCCAATCACCCACATCGTGCGAAATTCTTCCCTGTAAAATAAAAAGTATTAAAATAATTTATCAGGATTTCATGAAAAGTTATAAATGCGCTTCACAACCTGATGTACATGTTAAAACTCAGAATACAAATACACAAGCAAGTTATAAACCAAATTCCATCAAAACTCAAATTCCTCCTCTACATCTGTCCTCTATATTTCTACTGCTTTATAAAAAACTGGAGTCCTACGACAAATATCCTCTTCATTATCTATGTATTAATATCCAGTGTTTTTAATGATCAAAAGTACCAAAGGCACTTCAAAGAAAGTTATGTAAATTAATGACATTTTAGAAAAATCTGAAACAAAACTAGTCAGATATAAAAATTTAATTAGACCTTAATATATATTCCTTAAACTTTTAAAACTCAACTGAAAAGGTAGCATGAAGACTGGCCACAGCATAACAAGAATAATGGGTGATTCAGCTCCTTTTGAACATTTAATGATCCATCTATTGAATAAATCAGTCTTAATGATTAAGATTGTAGCAACAAAAAAAAATTTATAGAAAACTCAAATGGCAACTCTTACATGAATGCAAAAGAAATTAATCTGTAAAAACAGTAACAGCTACTCTATCACACCACCAACTTAAGTGATCTATTTACCAGTATTTTTCAGTCTTTAATACTGTATCTTGAAAAAAAAAAAAGCTCACTATTAAAACTCCCCTTGCCCACCAAATAAAGTGGTCATAGGCAAAGCAGAATTTCATATACTTAATAAAACAGCAACAATCAAATTGAAAATTGACCTATAAAAGATCCTTAAAATAAAGTGAGGCAGCTTTTAGTAACTTTGTTTTTAATGTCCCAGAATCCACCACAAAGCAAATTTTTGCAAGGTCAAATCATTTTCTCCTTGTAAAAAAAATTAAAAAGCAAAGACTGATGTTTGATATAGCAGCTATTCTAAAAACCACTCTGCAAAAAGGGGAGAAGGTATATTGCTAAAGTGAAGAAATGGAACTCATATTAGTTAATAGGCATTTCATCATTACAACTTATTTCAGGTGTGATTTTTCTCCAAAAAAAATCTTTCTCTTCAGTGCTTCTGATCAGCAAACCCTAAACCACAGATCTCAAATTGGCCTGACCCTGACGTAATCAAAAGAATAGTGACTCGAGTTATTAAAAATTGCCTATAAAACTTCCATGAGCAAAAGCTGAAAAGAGGATGGAGAATCCAGATTTTAGAGGATTGCTTACTTGTCGGGATTTTCTTTGGGTGCTGGAAATGACTGGGGATTCACATGAGCCAGTGTAATAAACTCATTCTTCTCCAAACTTCCAACCAGGATCCGGATTTTTGATTCCACCAAGCCCACCCTGAACAAATGTCACTCATTATTAATGAAAATTATTTTTTAATTAAAAAATAAAACAATGCACAAAATCAAGTAAGTTTGTATAAAGCTATAATATGAAGATACTTAAATACACGAGGGCAATTAGTTGTCATAGATAAAACGAAAACCTTATGTTCTAGCTCAAAAATGATGAATTAAAAACCACAGGGAGAAGCAAATCAAGTCACATTTCAAACTAGGAAGATTACAAAAGACATCCCCAGGAATATTTACAGACAAAAAAAATCAGTAAACTAAAAGAAAACACTTTAAATACAGTAAAGAAATAATACATGGATCTCTATAACACAAACAAAAAAAAGTTGTATATGGATCTCCAAATTTCTATACTTCCATTAAAACTTCCATTTAAATAGTAAAGCTGCATTTATGAACAAAATCACACTTGATGTTTTAAGGACTTCCGTCTCCTATTGTGTTCTGGGGCTATCTGATTCGTTTTGAAGTACTGTTTTTTGTTTTGTAAAGTCTAATCTTATACTCACCATTCTAGGCGTTGTTTTTCAGTTGGTGCACTTGCTAGAAGTACAATATAATGCCTTTGAAGATAAAGACAACATGCTATTTATTTCATTTAAGTGCTTTGAGCTGGATATTAACACCATAATGTAATAAGCCTGGTGACAGTTATAGATCAATTTAGCAAGAGAGAACTGCAATTTCAGCTTGCACATAAAATCATAAACACTAAATTCCATAAGTTTAGTGACTACTGGGCACGTTAAATTCTTCTGTAAAATTACCCCCACAGCAGCTTAATTCAAAAACATTGACTAAACATCACTGATAATTTGGTTCAAGGATTCTAGTGGAGTGCTTTATCTTTAAAGAGCCACCTCACTAAAATATAACCCATTAAAGCAAAATTGCTTCGATGGAAATAAAGCACCAAGGCTTTAGCCAAAAAAGAAGGATCACTAAATATACACACATTACATCAGTAATTTCAAAAATAGTATCCAATACATTATGCTTTTTAATTCAAATTAAAAGGTAGCAAAAATTAAACTGAATACTTGAGTCAGGCCTCATGACTTTTTTCAAACAACACTAGGAATTTCTATAACAAAGAAGTGGACATCATTAACATGAGAGCAAAAAAGTAATGTGATTTCTATGTGGAATTCAATTCCATTCAAATTAGAACAAAATCAAGTTTTCATTTCAGAAAATACCATCATTACCAAGTATCTATTTTTAAATGTTTTTCAAACAAACTATTTACAACTAAAGTATAACTAAACTTCATAAGACTGAAAAAAAAAAAATTCAATCCAATATACTTTCCTACAAAATGCATTTTAGAGGTGACAGAAGTCAAACTTCTCACCAGAAATGTTACCGCAAAAAGCAAACTGACATCATTACTGAATCCAGATACTAGTTGGAAAAGTCAGAGTATGACCACAATTTTAAATAAACTTCATGTATAAGCTTAACAGAGGTAATACACATAAATATGAAAACATGTAGACAGAAAAGTAAATATGCAGTCCAACTCCATAGACCAATACTTCCTTTCCTTCACCAGTTTTAATTTGTTCAGCAATTATTTAGAGCAAACCAAATATATGGCACACACACAGATAGCCCAAACAAATAGAAGTCAAAATTCACATAAAAGCACTAAAAGCTCATGCATTTTACCTATACAGAAAACTCTCTTAGGGCCCTAAATGCTCTTGTAAGTCAAACAAAACCCTAATAATCTCAGTAACCTGAGTTCCAGTTTCCTGTGAGTTTGAAAATGGACAACAAACTATAAGGGGGTGGGGGTGGGGGGGGCGTGGAGTTGGGAGGCAGGGGTATGGAGAAAAAGGAAAGTGTAACAACTTGTAACAGAAGACAAAGTATAAAAAGCAGGCATGCACACAAACACTCAAGACAAAAGTCCTCTGGGTTCACCTATTAGGACAAAACTCGAAATCTCCAAATCACTCTAGCACCACACTAGTGAAATAGATGCTCTTAATGACCATCTGAGTCTTTAACAAAAGCTTAAATGACACACAGTGTTCTCTACTTATGGCAAAATATAAAGTTCACTTGAACATAATCTTGTTGGCAATTCAAAGTTTAAGGTTCTAAAACTTTGGCTCTTACTGAAATCCAATGGGCCGGGGCAGGGGAGGGGTCTACTCTGCACATTGCTTACAATAAAGGCATCTGTTTAAATATAGTTGAAAGTGTTAAAGAACCAACAAGTATGTAAGCTGAAGTTAAATGTTCTTGACTCAGCCACATTTAAGCAAATATGAAGTGGGAGATACAAAACACAGTAATTATGTTTAATAGAAATAACCTGCCATTAATAAGTTTCCTATCAGAGCACAGAGACTAAAAATAGGTCTAAATTTAGACTATATTTAATTTTGTTGCTGCTTCAAAAACTACTATCCTCTAAATTTCACAATGTCATGATTATGCTTCAGGTACTCAAATGGCTTCACAAGACTTTGAAGCCAAAGCAATAATGATTAACTTTTCCCAAAATTTAAAGATTATCAGTTTTCAATTAAAAAAAATCAACTATAAAAACCTACCACAAATGAATTAAAACCCCTTTAAAAATGCTTAATTTAGTTGCTCTTATTACCTCACAACTATTCATCCCCCAAAAAGCATTTTTTTAGGTAGGTTTCCTGGCCATTTCATCACATCAACATTTTCCCTGGGTAGGTAACAACTCAAGACATTATACCGAAAATCTAATTTATCTCTTTGGCAAAAATCCTTTCAATTCCATCTTTAAGTTGACTCAGGTTCAAGAAATTAGAGTTCATTGTTCTTAAAAGCTTTTAACACATTCTGAGGCTAAATTATTCTATACATAGACTCCTTGAAATGATAAATTATTAGTCTTATTCCTGAGAACATTTAGTTTTTTCCCCCTAATACCTTTCCTTCCTTGTTTCCTAAGGAAACTGAACATCTGATGTAAGTCTTCACACTTCCTATGTCAACGGTGATTTACTTTACTGCTGGTTACTTATGTCGGCTTGAGTATCTTTAACAGTAGAACATGAAAAGTATTTTCTTAAGACTGTAAAATTCCACAAGGCAATGTTATCCCTTTTCGGCAAGCTTTCTAAGACAACTGAAATTTCCTTCGTGGTTTCCTCCCTTCCAAGAAAGGCAGGCAGGTAGACCACAGATGACTTAAAATCCTATACATAACAAACATAACACTTTCAGGATATACTTGAATAAGCTTAACCAAAAAACTAAGCATTTCAATTCAGTTGAACAGCTAATCTTTGGGGTATTTCATACAATACAGTAAAAGAAAAATTCAAACCTGGGGATGCTCAAAGTCTAATGATAATAATTACGAATTTTTTAAGAGGAAAAATTTTTGAGAAAAGTTAAGACGTAAGTGAATTTGGTATAGGTAAAATCAGCTGCTTGTCATGTTTTCAAATCATGTGTCCCGAGACTCACAGCTGAAATTACCTGACATAATTTCCTCTATTTGTTGCTACGTCCTCATTTTTATGTTTCAAGTTGTTTTTAATAACCTAAAATAATTTGTTTCAAGAGAATTCAGTAAAGATAATCAGCCAACAGAAGACCTTACACGTACCATTTGGCACAGGTTTTGAAGGATAACCTAAAAGTTTTTAAAGAAAGATTAAACAAGCATCAAAACACACACACACACACAAATCCTTCAAAGTACTAGTAATACAAATTTAAATGACAATATCAAGATTTGTTCAGCTTCAACACTAATCTTTCTTAAAGTGAAAAAAAGAGAAAGAAACCACTTAAGTAGGTACTTAGAAGAACTTCATTCTACCCACTTCTCATTCCTACAAGAAAACGGGACAGAAAGAAGAATCTATCTAGCTTCATCTTGGATTCTCAGGGATTAAGAGATGCTGACACTTCTACAAGATCAGTTTCTTTATTCTCTTTACAAGTAATCATGTGCTCTCTCATGCTAGTTTTTAAAGTATCAAAATATGTTTATTAGTTTAAGTGTTCAAAGGTACTTCCTCAACAGTGGTTAAAATAAAAAACGATGCAAACTTGTCTGCCAAATGGAAAAGCACAACTTATGGGGAATAGTAAACAAGAACATTCAATGTTATGCTATTTAAAATTTTTACTAACAATGCAGTGCTCCCAGAACACAACAATTAAGCTGGCTCCATTATTGCTTTTTCATGCAAAAGATACAGAAACAAAACACAGAGACATCATGAAGGTCATCATTCTTGTTTTTAATTGGGGAAATAGCATAAAGCAATCTTGCTTAGATTATTACAAAACACAATCCAACATAAGATCAAATGGTCAGGAAAGTTTCAAGCATTAAAGAAAAAAAAAATTTTTAAGTGGGACTTTGGCAAGTTTTCAGCTCAGGGCAAATAAAAGTGCAAGTCCGTTTTTTTTTTTAAAGTAAGATTTATTATAACTTACAGTTTTCATCAAAACCAACACAATCAGGCTATTAACCTATACTGAGGTATTAAGTCATTATATTAAAACCATTAGTAAAAAATATGACACCCACTGAGATTCCATGAAAATATTTGTAGAAATACTTGAGGGGCTTTATGAACACTAGGGGGAAATGGTAGGCCAATCATGTGTTGTAACTACTGAAAACATTTTGCTGACTACCTATATTGACATTTTATTAGTTCTGCCTGTGTTATAGAGAATCTTAAGATTAAATAAGTTTCCAGAACTGGATGAAAATAATTACTTAGAAGAGAATATTAGCTACAGATTTTAACAGTTCACTCCTTTGCCAAGGTATACAGATTTAGAGTTTTGGTGATGACTAGCAAACCTTCAGAACTGATGTTGCTACAAATGCAGAAATTTGGTTACATCAGGCAGCAAGACTATAGGGACTACACTGTACCTTGACAAAAAAACAATGTTTTCTAAAACAATATGCCCTTTGTGACAAGAGGAAAACTTGTATAGATGTTTAAAGGAAAATTCAAACTACATTAGTCTAGCAAGAAGAGATGTCACATATGCTACCATTAAAACCAATACTTAAAGAGAGCAACATGTCCGACATGCCTTAAAATACATACTTGTACTTCTGAAAGAAGTTTGGAGCTTCAAAAAGTTTGGACCACTCTGCCTTACTCAGCAAAATTTCATCTGTGATAGCAAGACCTAAATTAAAAACATATTAAGATATTTCCATGCTTCAGTCTAAGAATCTAGAATTTTAAAGATCTTTTAAATATATAACATGCATTCATTACAATCCTAAAATCATTAATTTTAACACAGAAATTTTAGTCTATGACTCTACAGCATAAAGATTCTTACATATGTACACTATTTTACACAAAAGAAAAAAAAGCTGGAGAATTTTAGGTCCATGTTTCTGGAAAACTACCATTACTTTAAAATGCCATGCTCACAGAGTGCCTCTCTCCTAAAACTGAAGCACTTCAGTTACCCAAGGAAAAAAAATTTTCCATTAACTTTCCTGCCCTTCTAAAAAAATTTCCTGTAAAAGGACAGTAACATCTTCCCATGAAGAGCCCCTTTAGACTACAAAAACAACTTTAGAGATTTGAGTTTGAAGTTGGTAGTCAAATAGCTGATTCTACTTCCTTGACTTCTGTCAAATAGTCCAGTTCAAGCTACTTCCCTCCAAGACCATTTACCATAGCTACTCCTTCAAATTAGCAATACTCATAGATTCAGAAGTTTAGTTATTCCAAAACAGTGGGCAGTGTGGCCAAAATCCTACTCAAAGCTTTCTCCAAATATACAGCCTGCTAAAAGCCTCTCATGTCAATCGATGGAGAGAAACTATGGTATTATTTAAAATTTCACATGGCAATAGAAGGGCACTAAACCATAGAGGCCCAGCTAAGGACACAGCTTTAAGTTTTAAATCGTCCGATATATAATCAAGAGTAAACTGCTTAACAAGAAATTAAACTGAGTTTTTCAAGTTAATTCTCAAATATAATCTGTAAGTAGTAACACCAGAATCCACTTTGGTGAGTGCTTTCTTCCATTTCATTGAATACCCCATTACTGGGTGTACAATGCATGTAAACCCTTCCTGTATAAAGGAGAGCATAAGGATAACACTTACCTTGTTTAAACTCCTCAACCATGACCATCCGTGTTGAAACGGACACATTGTACGTGGAGTTCTGTTGTGGGTATGCTGGTGTAATTATAGGCATAAGATGGTACCTATCACTGGGGTTTACCTACATACAACAACAGCCAATCAGTTTCTTCAAGTACATAGTCAACAGATACTTGGACTTTTTACCCCTTGTTAACTGAACCAATGATTAAATTTTATTTCATTCATAGCTGGAGTTGAGAAAGAAAAACCATGTAAAGAGACTTTTTTTAAGGAATTCTTTACAGAAACTGTGATTTGGTCTTAACTAATGGGTTGTTTCAATCATTTGGGCATGGCTACTTTGGTGACCTTACTAGAAACAGTGAGCCTGTTGAGCAAAATAAAGGTTCTAACTGGCACCTCCTGATGTTCAGTTTTTCTTTTGTCAACAACAGAAATAGGGATGCACACACAATTACATTTTTGAGAAATGTCACATTACAACATGTTCTGTGTAAAATGAATTTTAAACAAGCTGGAAACTTAGTTTTTAATATACCCTTATCAGTAGAAGCTTATTAACACAGGGTACAACTACATTATCCATGTCGGTATCATTTTAAAAGATAACAAAACAATTTAATAACTGTTAATGCATATAACTAATGATAAAAGTGGCATTTTTTAACAGAAAAAATTGTAAATTCATATCCTTCCCAAATTAAATGTCTTGAGGTTTGTAAAACCTGAAAGTACACAACTTGATGTCATTAACAAGGCTTAAAACTGAAAATATTTTTGATATTGTAATGAAAAAATAAAACAGTGTAAATAGAATTTTATAAACCTAGAAAGCCTTACAAACCTAAATTTCTTTTATCCATTAATAAAGTGCATGTTGTTAACATTTAAACTGAGTTAGCAGTGAAGGTCATAACTTCCAAAAAAGCAGAATGGAGGCTCCTCTTCAGCCCAACCATGCTTTTGTAATCTGAATTCGCCAAACCAATTTTTACAATTACATCATAGTAATTGAAGTGATATTGCTTAGAAGTTATCGGTCATGATTAAACATTAAGCAACAGTTTTCCTACAATAACCCAATTTTAACAGAATATTTAGATCGAATAAAAAAAAATACAGGGATTTTTAGTATCCTTTTTATTATTATTTTTTTAAGCACAAATGCCCACACAACTTTGACTTACAAGGTAGTTCTATATATAAATTGTTAGTGACCTTGATATTATAAACTACATACAATTAAATGTGGTTCCAGGGTACATAATTATGCTTCTCACACCAGAGGACAATTCTAGCTGAGATTAAAAACGAAGTGTGACACGAACATGTCCACTCATACGTAACAGAATGGGAAGTCTCCCTCAGTTTACGCAGATGGCTTCTACTCGTCATTGCACAGTGCGAATTTGTAGGGGAAAAAATAATACACTAACCCTTGGGTCCCATACAGGCAAATTAAGATTGCATTCTTCAGGTTGTTTCAATAGGACTGGATTTGGCCATTCCCTGTTTAAAAAGATTGTAGCACTTGATAAGACTATTGGATATTACCATCTACACGTATTTTGCTAAACATACAGCATTTGTGAATGTGATTCTTCTTCATTCATTTTGCACTCTTGGTACACATAACTTTTTACTCCTCTGTTGAGGTTAAGACTATTTGGATTAATTTTTCTCTATGAAATTAACTCCAACCACCTGGTAGCTTTCTTAAGACTGAAGTCAAACATCTTCTCTACCTCTCAAAGAACTGATAAAGCACTATTCAAATTAAAAAGTACTACCCCAAGACAATCTGATGTGTTCATCTCAAAGCTGAACAGGATAAAATCTCCCATGAACAGACATAAATCCTATAATCCTATCTTTATACTAGCTCCAAAGACAACCCAGGATGAAAAGCTGATTCATTATAGGCAAAGAAGTATGAATAATTATAATCTCTATCTCATGACTTAAAGGTTATTAACATGAATATGAGTAATGATGTGAACACACTGTTTTGAAGACATGTCCTGTGAGTTATCTACTTCAGTCTTTATATAAGAGATTAAAAACTGGAAAACAGTTGGCACCTTTAGTATCAAGATTGTTGCTGTTGCTCATTTACTAAGTTGTGCTGACTCTTTCCGAACCCATGGACTGCACCACACAGTATCAAGATTAGCTTCTTAAAACTATTACTTGCTATGTACATGCAGCATTAAGAGAAATTCTGACATTTTTCTCACCAATTTTGGTTATATATAATTAAGTGCTATTAAATCCATAAATTACAGGGTGTGTTCTGAAAAGTGTGGCAAAGCTCTAATTATAAATTGTCTCTGATAACTCTTAATTTTTATAAAACAACTAAAACACTATTTTAGAGGGAGAAGGTAGAGAGGTTGACACAAATAGGGAAGACAAAGCTTTCAGATCAATTTGATTAAAAACCAAGAACTCTAACCTTTTGGGTCAAAGCAACTAATAAGAAATAGCATCTTTTATCTTACTTAAATAACGGTTGACAAATGTGACCAAGCTTAAATGAGGAAGAGCTTTAAAAAAATCCTTTCCTGGGTTGTTAATTAATTTCAAAGGGATAATCAATTGCTTTTCAAGCACTTTAGTTATCCTTAAAAGCTATATAAACATTTATATCTTTAATATTCTACCAAAGATGAATGGGCAGCTGAAAGCAAAACAAACAACCACGAGAAACTAAAGGTCTACAGATTTAGAAGAATTCAAAGAGTAAAAGAGGTGGTAAGTTTTATCCAAAGTAACTAATATCCCAACCTATCAACTCACTGGATTTTAGCAAACATTACAGCTAAAATTCAGAGTTTATTTGGAGAGGAGGTTTACTCATGGAAGTACAAACAGCACCTGCCTCACTACCCTGGGAAAGCTGGCAAAAGGAAGAGAATTAGGCTTGTCACTTTATATACAACATGATCTCCCCAAGGCTATCTACACTGCTGCATCGTGAACTTAAATTTGAATCTGAGACCAGCTGCAGAAATGTCATAAAAATAAGACTAAACTTCAGTGTCTACAATCAATTTTATTTTAATATAATCTAAACACATACCATTTAGAAAATACCAAGAAAAATTTATGTACAAGAGTTGACGCTATTGCATTTGGATAAAGCTGGCAAGTTCTTGCTACTAGCATAGCCCAGGAAACACCACCGAGGAAACCTAATATATTGGAATAGATGTTGTGGCCTGTTGATAGGGAAAAGCAAAAAGGAAAAGTTAGTGTTGAACAAAAGCTTAAACATGTTTAATAAGCTAGCCAACAAATTCTGAACTCACGTTTGGCCCACAGTTTGATAGCTCTCAGGGTTAACCTGAAGTTGTCAATGTTTGGTACTAGATGTAAAATTTCATCGGTTACCCTGCAACCTGATCAATAGGAGTAAAAAGAAAAAAAAAATTAAATCATCAAAGGTTTAATGAGAGTATTTCTTTTAAATTTTCTGAGACTAATGTCAAATTAAATAAAAATCTGCTTGGTAAAACCAGTAATGTTAATAAAGAGGCACCACAAGCACTACCCTAAACCAAAGAATCTGAACTGTACTCTGCTTCATCTCAAACTTTCAACCCAGAATTAAAATGTCTTCCAGTTCAGACACACTGCCTAGAGCGTGGTCCACTGAAGTTTCTAAGAACTGTTCTTTAAGAGCACTGTAACAAGCAATGGTAAAGTAAGTGTTCAAATGCAGCAGACAGATGAAAATGTTACCAAGGTTATCGGGATCAAAATCTAAACAGAGTTACACAGTGAGACCTAAACCACCATCAAGAGTACAAATGTCAGACGGTATTTAAAAGTTCCAGAGAGCAAAGAAATAACAGTGCAAGACACCGATGAATACAACAAATTACTAAATGTATCACTGCAATCTTAACTATTAAGTAAAAAAGCTCATTTTATATGACTCACTACAGATAAATAATAGGGCTATTAAAAGCTTCATTACAAAACGCGAGTTAAAAGTCGTTTCACATTTGACCAAAACTGCTATTATGTAAAAGGAAATATGCTTTTACATACCGTTAAGACTTCTTATACATCTAATATCTAAATTTTTAAGCAGACTGTCATCTCTTAAGTCCAAGTCTTCTGGAATAGTCTGCAGTGCTAATCTTGCAAACAAAATATCAATCTAAAACAAAAACAAAGTTTAACCCTCTGTATCTGTCAAACTATTTTTTGAACGTTTTATTTTATACAGGAATATAGTTGATTAACAATGTTGTATTAGTTTCACCTGTACAGCAAAGTGATTCAGTTATACATATGCATGTTTTCCAAACATGTTCTTTTCCAAACTAGTTTTAAGACATTTCTTTTAAAAAAAGAAAATATTCCTTAAAACCAGAATCTTTTCATCAGCTGTTAACATGACAATTCCAAAAATTTAAACAAAATTTTTACCATAGGTATTTTAATCAGATCTTAAAACACGGTAATACTAAACAGAACTTTTATAGTTACCCATCACTTTAACCATACTTACTAACTTTAATTCACTACCTTTGCTAAATGCATACATACTGGATTAATTAGTTAACCGTTTAAGTTTCCATCCATTAATACATGAACTGTGTATTGATCATATGCTGAAAGGTTCCCAAATATAAGGCTAATATGATTATATGTGACCCAAATAAACATGTCAGTAAAAAGGAAGCTTCTTGCATTTATGAACTTATGTATTTATACTATCACAGTCTATTTCTCCAACTTAGTTTTAACTAACAGAAACAAAAACTGGCTACTGACAAAATTGCTTTTTTTCTCCTTTTTTTAAGGAAAGGTGGAAGCAAAGAAAACTCGGCAGATTTCGTAATTATTCCTGAGGGCATGATTTCATGGTTCTGAACTTTGCTGCTAGAGAAACAAGTCTTTTTATAAAATCACTTTAAAAAGGTATACTTTAAGAGCTTACTGTGAAAAATCATTTAAACATGCACCTACCTATAAGATCAGGAAAAAACTACACAAATTAAGTTTTTGGTATAGTCTAAATTTCCCAATAATACAGATACCAAAATCTAGTTTCTCCCCCAATTTAGACAGAAATAATAAAGACTGCAGACTTCCCCGGTGGCTCAGACTGTCAAGCATCCGCCTACAATGCAAGAGAGCTGGGTTCCATCCCTGGGTCAGGAAGATCCCCTGGATGGAGGAGCGTGGGGGGCTACAGTCCATAGGGTTACAAAGAGTCAGACACGACTGACAGACATCACTTTCAATAAAGACTACATGCTCAAAGGAGGAAAAATGTAAACTCAAAAAGTAACTCAGTGGTAACACACACATTAAATATTTCAACTAACCATTTGACTTTTGTCTCCATTCTGAAAAGTTTACACACACAATGAGGTGGGTCTCCACAAGAAAAAAAAAAAAAAATCTTGGGAAAGCAAGGCATCACCCACGTTATAGGTTGTTTTGCATATTTAATAAACTGACAGTTAAGTATGGCTCAGCTGGTAAAGAATCCACCTGCAACGCAGGATTCCTGGGTTGCGAAGACCCCTGGAGAAGGGATTCCTGGGTTGGGAAGACCCCTGGAGAAGGGATTCCTGGGTTGGGAAGATCCCCTGGAGAAGGGAAAGGCTACCCACTCCAGTATTCTGGCCTGAAGAGTTCCATGAACTGTATAGTCCATGGGGTTGCAAAGAGTCGGACATGACTGAGTGACTTTCACTTTAGTAAATCAAAACTGCCTGAACTTGATAATCCTTTACCAAATTTAACATTTTGTGTCAACTTATTAAAGTTAGTCATATATATTAGGTACTTATGCAGCAATTACAGAAACCGCTTTTTGCGCAAAACTTTACAACTGTAATTACTATCGGTGGTGGTCCAGCACCATCACGTATGCGGAAGTAACAGAACAAATACTAAAGCTGCTTCGCTGTCAGCTTTGCTGCAACTACTGTCATTACACACGCTGAAAACAGCGAAGAAAACTGCACATCACCTCAAGAGCCTAAGCTCAAGTATCCTTCCCTATCAGAAAACATTTCAGCACACATAACACCAGATCACAATTTTCTCTCAACTTCTTACATATTTCACTTAAATGAAAGTCAAGGAAAAGTGCTGTTTGCAAAAATACATCGTTATATTGCGTTCAGTTCAGTTGCTCAGTCATGTCTCTTTGTGACCCCATGGACTGCCTTAGTGAGACTAAAAGTACATAGAATCTGCATATGGAAAATCTATCAAGGAAACTGTTCTACAGCAGCATTTCAAAGTCAGTACATTTTTGTCGGTATTTTAACTTCTAGTTTCACAAGTCTGTTTTTTTAGAAAAGACTAAAAATGTTATAAAAGAACAGGTTACCATTTCCATTAAAAAAAATTCTTATTAATATCACATCATCTCACAAAACTCTGAAATAAATCAAGTTTTTAACCTGCATCTATCAAAATTACAATAGTAAGAACTGTCTATTTGAACCTTACCTCTATCCCATCAAAACACAGTTTGATAACTGGTACAAATGCCTCTTCAACAGCCTGTGAGAAAATTAAGTAAGTTTAGTGTCTCTGAAACTATACACTAGAATTATGCTAGTTTTAGTACACTTAAATAAATGCAATACTTAAAACTGTTTAAATACAACTTACTACAATGCCTGACACAAACTAGGTTCTCAGTAAATACTTTAAGACACTAGAATCCTAAATCAGACAAGCCTCGGTTCAAACCCTTGATCTCTGCTACTATGATACATGATGATGGCCAAGTTGCTTAGTATTTATTTTGTTTGCCTCATTTCCTACTCTGTACATGGGATTACAGATTTATGACTTTTAGACTGCTGTAAAGAATAAAATACAAGCATGTATTGTCTTAAGCTTAAAAGGGTCTGGCAAACTACAAGAGTTCAAAAAAGTTGATGGCTACACCATAAAAAACTCAATCAACTGACTAAACTGACTTTTTAAACTCCTCCCCTTTCACCCAGAACATTTACGTACTCTTAAATCTTTTACTTCTTCCTGTAATTTCAACTTATCATAGAAGGAGGTGAAAAAATCACTTCGATCAACATGTCTTGGTGCAACACACAATGCATCAATATCAGCACCTAGAAAAAAAATTAGGCCCATCAACTACTACTTAGTATTACAAGAAAATTATTTTGCACCTTATCATGGCAGTATTTGACAGTAATGAGCCTCTAAAACTGTACCCCTTTCCTTAAAAAAAACAAAAAGAAAAGCTACCAGTCAGTACAATAAAAACATGGCCCTAATTGATGGGAGGTATTTTTCCTAAAGCAACTCCTGTTTGTAGTGGCCCAGGTCAGCTGGGAGTGAGAGTAGCCTGACTCAGAGGGGAACTCTCACGGTAAGAGAAGGAATTAGTCAAGAACACACCCGACATCCTGGAGTCACTAGTCACAACCACGCTCATCAGGGAAACAAAAAGCATACAGTTACTCTCCATACATTATGACTGCTGCTTCCTGGCTCCTACCTGAACCTAAATGAGACCTATGCACTTCAAGAAGCACCAACAGCAAGAATCCAAAGAGGCAGATCATGGTAAGATAGTTGCTATTCATTTAGGACTTGACAGAAGGCCAACATAAGGAGAGTACATAAGGAGAACACAAAAAAAGATGATCAAAATCAGTAACTGGGATCATAACAAGAAGAGATCAATATGAAATCAGGTCAACATAGTCATTTTCCTAAAAGACTCAATCCCTGAGGCACTAATTCTGAAGGCAGGACGTCCGGTGTACTCATGAAGGAAGAAAAGAATGTAAAGTTCACAGGACTCATCCAAAGCAAATGCACTGCTTCTGGCACAGAGTAGCGGGAGATGGGGAGAAGGAATAATGCCATAATACAGAGAATACTAGACTGGCAGATAACTTTTTCCGAAAGTCTTTACTGAATTTGTTACAATATTTTTAGCTTTGGTCTTTTTGGCCAGGATGCAGGTGAGATCTTAGCTCCCGAATCCCCTGCACTGGAAAGCCAAGTCTAAACACTGGACCACCAGGGACTGTCCCCCGACAGACAATTTTAACAGAGGCTAGTGGTTAATGGTTGAAAACTACAGCCTCAGACTGCCAGAGTTAGAATCCTAGTTCTGCCAGGAGACAGCTGGAAGCAACTAATCAAGTTGTCTCTTTAAGTCTCTGACTGCTATTTGTTACATAACAATATTGAAGAATAAATAAGATCATGCAGACCAAAAGCTTACTATGTTTAGTTTAAAAAAAAAAAAAAAAGAGCTCAATAATGTTCTCCCCACAGGGCGAAAAACCTACAAATGTAACCAAGAAAATATTATTAGTGATTGATACTGACTGAAGATACACATTTTTTTGGTTTTTTCCTTAACTATGTTTCATGATTTTGTAATACAAAGGACAAGGAAATCCACAGATTCTCCCGCCTGCCCCAAACTTTAATTCATTTTTGATCTGATTTCCAAACTGATATTCTTCAGGTAGACCAAACAATATACAGAGCAGCACTGCCCCAAATCACTCCCCAATGGCAAAAATTGTACTTCATGTGCACTTTCCAATATGATAGCCACTAACCACATGTGGTTACTCAACAGTGAAAATACGGCTAATTCTACTAAGAAACAGAAATTTATTTTACTCAATACTACATTGAAGAGTACGGGTATAGAAGGCATCACTTTATTTCATTCTTCTTATCACATTTAGGCTTCCTGAAGTACTTCCATGCAAACTGAAGTTGCATAATACACCATAAGTAACTGAGATAGATGTGCTGTTATAATTTTTTAAAAATTTTAAAAAAGTATTCTTTCTCAAGATAATTAAAACAGTATTTACCTTTTGTATGTACTCCTAATCTATAAGATCCAAATGTAAAAATTTTCCCACCAACATTTTCAATTACAGATTGTGGAAGATTCTGTTGAAGCAAACAAAAAATTAGTCATTTTGCAGTGGAACACAAAGGCAACTATTTCAAGTAACACTGTACATTAGACAAAAAACAAAACACTTTCCATGCAAATTTATATACAAGGTAAACAAACTATAATCTCTACAAAATACCAGGCCTTCACAGATCAACCTAACTTGAAATTTAAGCGATTTTCAACTTTTAATCAGTGGTAATATTTTGCCATATTTTTTGAAACTGCTATAAAGACGACAGTGGTCAAGATCATGTGATTCCACAGAAGCAATGTTAGAATCACATATTTTAATCATGACAAGGTGCAGCATAAATCATGAACATGAGATTATAACAAAAACATATTCTGATTGCTTAAAAGAGATTATACTCAATGATTGTATCAAATGTCTCACAGTGAAAGTCAAAGTGTTTGTTAGTCACTCAGTCATGTCCGACTCTGCCACTCCATGGACTGTAATTATAGACCACCAGGCTCCTCTGTCCATGGAATTCTCCAGGCAAGATTACTAGAATGGACAGCTATCCTTCTCCAGGGATCTTCCTGATCCAGGGATCAAATTTGAGTCTCCCACACAGGCAGATTCTTTACCAACTGAGGCACCAGGGAAACCCATCTCACAGTACATTAGACTGTAATTTTACTGTATCAAGAGTGACTTTAAGGTCAATAATGCTACTCTTAATAGTTCAGTAGGATGATTTAGTAGCTTAGTGGGATGATTCTGAACAAAACTAAACTTACTGATGATTTTCATCTTCCTGACCCTGGCACTACTCTACTATGGAGACTACTTGACCGCCCTTGGGGATAAGGATAATGTCTCTCCATACACACACACACACAAAATCTTCATGTGTGCTAGGTCATTGTTTCCCTTTCCTTTCTAATTCCTCAGTGAAGTCTTTTGATTCAGTAGCAGAATATAAAAAAGACCACTCTTCCCCACCACCCTGCCAAAAAGACCAAACTGTTACTTCATACTCCAAAAAACCCTAAACACAAATTGTAACAGGCTCAGGGACTCTCTTGTTTCTTAATTAATACAACATCACAGAAAAACAATTCAACTGAAAACTTTTTATAAATGTCAGAATATAGGATGGCAAATAAATCAAACTAAGTGGAAATTCAAGTTTTATATAAATTTTCCCAAAAATATTTATAAATTAATTGTAACTAATACAGTAAAAATTCTCTACTGATTTAACTGGAGATATTTTTGGTTGTCACAACTTGAGGTGACCAGACAGGAGCAGTGCATTCAACTGGAAGAGTGCTGCTTTTCATATCCTCCAACATAATCCCTAAAAAAGAACTGTATAAGGAACTCCCTGGTGGTCCAGTGGTTTAGACTCTGCAAGGGCACAGGTTCAATCCTGGGTTAGGGAACTAAGATCAAAAGAGAGAACTATGTGGTTCAACCGTATCAGCAGTGTCAATATAAGGAATTCTGCATCAAGTCTTAAAACCAACAAAAGAAGAAATGCCCCCTAGGAGAAGAGACATGAAAGACCAAACCTGTAAAGCCTAACCTCTAAAGTCCCATTCTCTAACCAATTTACTACTGACAGACTACAGAGAAAAGGACACAAATGTGATTAGGAATGAGCATTAATTGCAAAAGTAAAAGTCACTCAGTCGTGTCCAACTCTTTGTGACCTCATGGACTATACAGTCCATGGAATTCTCCAGGCCAGAATACTGGAGTGGATATATGTTCCCTTCTCCAGGGGATCTTCCCAACCCAGGGATCGAACCCAGGTCTCCTGCATTGCAGGCGGATTCTTTACCAGCAGAGTCACCAGGCAAGACATGAAATTAATCCAAACAATTTTTGTTACCCTCAGGAAAATGAGGAAGAAGAATTATATCAAGAATTATCAGTTAATGAAACTAACAAGGCATTCAAATTACTGAAACAAAACTATCAATGAGATAGAACTCTTGTTTCACATTAAACAAATCTATGTTTTGGCCTTGTCTATGGTTTTCAACTTAAAGGTCTAATAAAAAGCCATTAAAGCAAAGCTGTGTTTCTACACAAGAATGAAGAATCACTATGTTCAATAAATGAGTAAAAATACTTAAACCTGCACATCTTTTGCTTTAGCTCAAAAGGAAGTTCTTTTCAAAATACGTTTTTACCAAAACTCTATCAATGACAAATATGTAGTACACATAGAATCCTCAATTTTGAATAATCTGGCTGCTAAAGTTTCAGTCAATTACTTGAAATATGTATACACTGCTCTAAGAAAACAATTATAAATTTGACTAAAGCTAGAAGATTTTAACTTTTCTTCTACCTTGATACCTTGCCTCAGGTTTTCTTCTATTTCTGGTTCTCTTCCCATCAATTTCTCAACTATATTATAGACTAAACATGCATTTCAACTACCCGGGAAAAATGACCACTATTTATGGAATTTTAAAAAAATGGCTTCTACACAACTTTTTAAGAATACATTTCCTTTACCAGAAGCCTAGTCATTGATTCAACGGTTGTATTATTTCTTTATAATGAAATATTAGAAACTCAAGGAATGGTATTATAAAAAACTAAATAAACTAAATATTCAGTTTGAGAGTTTAGTATCTGAAGGTCTAAAAATGCTCACTGTTACAGAATTCCTTATAAGGTAACAAGAGTCTCAAATAGTTAATATACATATTTAATACATTTTTAAAAGCACCTTTTGAGGGAAACATTATTTCTGACAGGTGTAAGTAATCACAGAGCTTCAGCTTTGAAGTGTTCAATCAAAATGTATTTATAAAATCACTGAATTTAATTCAGTTTTTCCTGTTTTCAAAATAGCGAGACACCAAATAGAAATTCTATTGTCAACAGTCTAAAACAAAAGATTCTAAACATTCAAGACTCTAAATTCACTCGGATAAGAACAGATAAGGCAACTGCTGTGTTCAGCTGATAAATTTCTTCCTATACAATTAAGTCACCTTACCTTGCTTTCACTGATTTCTCGTATCCACTCTTTCACCAAGTTATTTAATTTTCCCAAAATTAAAATCCTGTTGATAGAGGATATCAGTCAAGTATCAAGTTGTTTGCTTTTCCAGATCATTTTTAATATGCAACTTCCTAAATTTTAACTAGTTTTTAAGCTATCAGAAATAAAGTTTATAGTAGTTAGCTACATGTAGGCACTGTTTCACTGGGCAAAGCAATCTTTTAGCTAAGCAAGGCATTCGTCTTTCTCCTGACAATGCTGTAGTACTCTACTAACCAAAATTACTGCAAACCAAAATAAAGGAAACAAAACTTTATAAAGAGGGAAAGTTTTTTCAAGGTATCATTCTTGTTTGAAACAGATATATACTGGGGAGAAAAATTCTGACTCTCAGTACAGAACTCCTCAAAATTAGCCTACTATGTTAATAAAAAACTGTACCTTAAAAGAAGACATAAACATACACACACTGACCTGCGCTGCAGTTCCTCTTCCTCTTCAAAAACCCCAAAGGGCTTCAGCGTCTCCACGAGCTTCTGTGTGAGCAGGCAGTCAGTCTCCTTGGGCGCTGCTAAGCTGATGGGAGAAGTAATGCCATAGTGCTTCTGTGGAGGCTGTGTTTGCTGTGATCCCTGTGTTGTAACTGGACTGCAAACAGAACTGGGTAAAATTACTGCCAAAAAATTTCCACAATTTGAAACAAATCAGCATAACTAGAAAAAATGCAGTTCTAAACATAGTTGATTCCTTACCATACTCCAAAAACATGTTTTAAAACAAAAAGTAATGCAAAAACTAAATGACCAAGAAGAAAACTTTAGTTCTCCTCCCACTCCAAGGATTTTAACTTTGCTACTATTTAAACATCTAAATAAATTATAAATAAGAATCCAATCAAATATACTGCTAGAGAAGAAAATGCTATCAAAGATACAGTGAACTTCTAAGAAATTTTACTTCTTGAAGAGGCCAAATATGTTAAATTGTTATTTCTAAAGAGATGAGATAAATACAAAAAGTTTTACCAACACAAGAGATTCCCCAAGTGGAACTTAACATCTGACTAGCAATGAATAAAACTCATAGATAACGAGGCAAATAACAGAAACATAACTTGGAGGGGGAGAGTTATATTCACACTAAGCTTGTTACAGTATTTTTGCTAAGATTTACACTTTAACAATGATTAGTCAAATGTTTTTCTGTTTTAAGAGAAATTCTAGATTTTTACAACCAACAGGATTTTAACGTAACTAGTGGAAAGGTCTAGTATGTTCTAAATGGTTTAGGAAATTAATCTGACTCAATTTTTTTTTTTAAAACCAATTCTTGTTTTTGTTCCCCTCCCTTTATAAGTCAATGGACAGGGATTCTAAAGCAGCACAATTATTAACTAAAAACTGCCTGGTCAAATAATGTACAAAACCAGGTAAGGAGAAAAAGCTAACATTTGAATCAGTTATTTGCCCCAAATTCTGTTCTTTAAGGAATAACTTATTTTATACACACACATATCTCTACTTCTTTCCAAGTTCTAAATATATATATATGTATATATATTTAAATTAAAGCACAATAGCCTACTAGAGCAATAAGGTGCAGGAATCCTATGCAGCTAAGTCCCATTATGCATTCACTACTGTCCTGGGTTCTGGTTTACACTAGGCGGGACTGTCTTCTACTGTCTTCTGATATCAACACAACACCTAAGAATGCCAGAAAGCCCACAGTGTTTACTAATGAGTCAATAGACTGTACAGCATTTAGTTTATGCTTTCTGAACAAGTTATGCGCTGTCTCAATTTCAATTCAGAGCTTACAGTAACATTTGCTGAATAAATATGAATCAGATTTATCTCTTATAGCAATTAATTTATGTCAGATCCCTTTCTCCTAGTAACTTTAATATAAACTCCACTGCTATACAAGACTATGATGTCAATTCACAGAGCTGGGGCTCCACATGAGCACCAAGCACTGTCAAAAGACTAAATATCTCACATGATTAAAATATAGGAGTTAACGTAACTGTAAATATGTTCATAATACCTTGGTTAATACATATTTTTGTCAATCAACAAATAGCTATCCTCATATTCCATAAAACTGACATAAAAAAAGGTAGCCCTCAAAACTGCCCAATCATTTCTTCCCACCATGCTCTAATAGATTCCAGATAAATTACATATTAAGTGTAAAAAAATACACTTACCACATATCTTAGCGTAATTAAATTCTTGTGCATTGTTCATTGCTTCATATGAATTTCTCCAAGTAAACTACAGCCCTTCATGACCACCCCAGGATTATAAATACTTTTTATAAAGGATTTTAATGTAAGTAGAGCCAGTAAAGAAAATAAAGTTCATTCTAGCCAGATTTGGTTCAAGCAAGCAATGAGAGCTTTCAAGTCAAGTATAAACTGAATTCATGTTTTCCTAACTTAAACCTCTACTGATTTTTTTCTTTTTTCTTTTTTGAGCAAGTAATAGTTCATCTGCATTCTCTTCCTTTCTGAAGAGGCTAAATTCATTACCAGTTGAGTTTGAATATCACCAAAATATGGGTGCTCATTCTCTGTGGCATTACACTTTCTTGCAGACTCATTTTTTTTCTTTCTCAAATATTCAGGTTCTTCACTGTCACACAAAAAACAATGCTAGGAAAGCCCACTGTCTATTTCAACTATATTACCAAAAATACTGGATATAGGCTCAGACTTCTAAATTCACACCAAGTTTGCTTACTTTAATTGGGGGGGAAAAATGTTTATATCTACATTAGTTTCCACATTAACAGTCTCATGGGGAAACAAATCATACCCCAGCTGTAAATGTTTATTAAAAATGTAGTCACAGCATAGAAGATAAAACCAGATTTACTCAACTCACGTAATTCAAAAAAGAACATATATATCACTTATCTCTATATGTATACATATTTAATACAAGTTATATATAGAATATATACTAATTCAAGAACACATATGAAAGAAATAAAAATAAATCACAACCAAATGAAAGGAAAGAAATAAACGCATGTTCTGAAAGGTACATGACACCTATGCCTCCAATAAAAATGGCTTAAGCTTAGCCCAAGTAGTTAGACTCGGATTCTAGGATGCCAGATTCTCTGAATGTCTGACATGTAGAAACATTAGCTATGATTGAATGGAAGAAGTCAAATTTTTACATTTAATTTTAATATTAGAAATTAAGGAGAGGGACAAACATTTAAGCATCTTCTTTACTGCTGTCCTATTTCTAACAAAAATAATATATACATTCTAATGTTGGGTAATTTGAAAAGTTCTCCTTTACAGAATTTCTCCTGGAACCATACACCAGACAGCTAGCTATCAATCCTAAGAATGCAAAGCTCTTCCTCAAATTCTTGAACACAGAAGCCATCTGTCCACAGTCCATCACTTTTTAGAGACATTTTTACCAATATGCAGTTTTCTTCAGACTTAACTATTAAAAAAAATAACTTCTACAATTATATAAAACAATAAGGAAAAAAACTAGATACAGAACGATAGTATTTGTGATCCATTAAAATTTCTTTCTGGTTTTCCATTTAAATATAAAGAATGCTTGTGCTTTTCCTGAATAACTGGTTCACCTTCATCTCATGAACATATTCGTTGTCTACTTTTAGGCTACTGCCTGAATTCTTAAGAGCAAAACTGATGGCCATCCAGCAAGTTCTCTACAAAAATCCAAAAATCACTGTACTTCTGTAAGAACTATTTTAGTACTCTAATTTCTAGGGTACTAAAAATTATTATACCTCTGCTCTGATCCATCCTCTTCATCCACCTTTAATGTAAACAACTTGTCAGTTTTCAAAATATGACTAAAGCCCTTTTAAATCTTAATCCTTTCTAGATCAGAGCAAGAGATAAATTGTACCCTACCCTTCAAAATTACAAAGGGCTCTCCCAGTGGCTCAGTGGTAAAGAATCTGCTTGCCAATGAAGAAGGTGAGTTCGATCCTGGAAGGGGAAGATCCCCTGGAAGAGGAAATGGCAACCCACTCCCTTATCCTTGCTTAGAAAGTCCCAAGGGAGAGGAGCCTGGTGGGCTAGTCCACGGGGTCATGAGGAGTTGGACAGGACTGAGCGAGCACACATGCACAAAGTTACAAAGGGCAGCAAACACTCCTCCCCCAACTCTACTTTTTTGGGGGTCAGGAGGGAGGGAGAGAGCACAATACTAAATATTTTCAGAGTTCTCTTATAGCATAGGGCATTTTCTTTATAATATTTAAAATAATTTACAACAAGGCAAAGCTTGCACACAACACATGCCCATCTTTACTTTTTTCTTGTTTTTTAAACTTCAACAACATTTTATATAACAACTCCATTCCAATACTTGTTCTGACTCTTGGCATCCTGGTCCCACTCCTTCTATTCCCTGGCTATGCCAGTCTGCCATCCACACTGCTACCAAGCATTACCCTCCTAAAACAGGGTAAAAACCACATGACTTCTGGTGTAAAGGCATTCAAAACTCGGTCCACAAAATCTGTTCTCAACCCAAAAGCCATCTGATAAAGAGAAAGCAAGGCTGATTTCACTTCTACTAGTTATGCTGCTCTGACCTCACCTCTGCCATTAGTTGTGTCACTTTTATTACGTGGGGTCATTAAAGCTCTTCCCTGCTTTGGATGGCAAATTAAAAATTTAAATACTGTAACACATTTATGTCACAGAAGACCAGTTTCCAAACACAAAAATCTGTCCCCCCTTCCCCATGCTAGGCTGTCAAGGATCTAAATCTAATCAGGGTACTTAGAAATGGCAACATTTTTGTGAAACTGGAATATGAATGTAGGCTGCTTATTTTGGCTAGAGACTTGTTTCAAAAGCTTAGGCATCCAGTTTAAACAATACTTGCCCTGTGAAACATTAAGAACCACTCTGCTGCAATAATTATAAAGCTAACTCAAATGCTGTAAGTTCCTATGATTTGTAAACCAGTTATGCAGCCATACTTTCAAACAGTCAAAGGATGATCAGTCACGGATATGGTATATTGATGACCACTTCAAGTCAAGGACGAAAGTAAGGAACACTCCACACTCCAATGAAAAACTACATTAGTTTTTGTTTTCACTGACTGAATGAAATCCAAGGAGGATTTTCACTTTTACAAAAAAAAAGGCAAAAAGCAAAAACACTGTTCGTTTGTTCCGCAAGCTGTTTCAGAGGTAGCCTGCACCCTGAGTGGCAAGAATGGCACTACTACCAACCTTCTTTCCCAAGGAAATATGTATGTTCACTATCAAACTGCTATAACTTTTAACTGTGTCTGTGAGCTACTATGCTTTATCTCAATTTATTCTGTGCATCTGTTAGCAAGATGCATGTAAGGTAGCTGCTGCTTCATTTTATGCCATTTTGACTTACAAAAGGTTTCATAGGACCCCTCTCTTTTGGATAGCGAGGGAAACCTGTATCCTTAACATGTTCTTATATCAACTTTTTTAAAAGTTTCACTGCAAATCAAGGAAGCACATTAAGACAATCATTTCTTTCTGTCAGACTGGAGAGGGCTGATGTATATCTGGTAAAATGAAAGACTTATTATAAACATTTAATGTTAGCAATGGTATAAGAAAATCAGCACTCAAAAAAAAAAAAAAGAAAAGAAAATCAGCACTCTTATCCATCACAAAGGAGGTGAACTTGGCATATAATTTTTAAAAACAATCAGGACTCACCAAATTTTTTTTTAAAGCTATGTCTAGCAATTTCACCTCTAGCAATCTATCTTACACAAATTCACTAGGACACAAGGACTCAGAATGAAGGCCCTGAAACTGGAAGACATATCCTCTTTAATTTACAATACATTTTTAATACATAAAATGTGTACAGTAAAGCACAAATTTCTACTGCTCATGGGGTAGGAATACAATGGATTAGAGACAGACAGGCCAAATATGGGCCCAAAATCCTGCAGAGCAACAATGATCTTGAAATGGGCAGTGCCCATTCCAGCATTATCCTTCATAAAGGCACCATGCTTGGTATTTGTAAATAAATACCTCTCTTAACCCCCCCAGACTCTAGAATGTGACATTTCTCAGAGGAATAATACAAAAGATACCCAAAGTTGTTCACTGGAACAGTTTACAGTGCACTACGAACTGGAAACCACCTAAATATCCATTAATATGATACAGGACTGATGAATTACGGTACATTCTTACAACTTACATCTATGCTATATAAAAGAATGAGGCAGGAGCATGGAAAGATGCTATGTCAGGTGTTGCAGAGTTTAAGTATGATAATAGTATTTATTGAAACCTCAGGATATTCCAGATAGTGTGGCAAGCACTTTACATTATTGCCAACTGTTTGAATGACTCTATTACCTGTTTCCATTTTACAGATGAAGTAACTAAAGAGAGGAAAGGCTGACCTAAATTCACTGGGTCAGGGTATGACCTCAGGCATCTGACTATAATCGTTAAGCCTCCAGACATCTTTCACAACATACAGTCTTATATCTTCAAAAATCATTTGTGTATTACATCCATCTTGTTGTTCAGTCACTCAGTTGTGTCTGACTCTGCAACCCCATGGACTGCAGCCTGCTAAGCAAGAATACTAGAATGGGTTGCCATGCCCTTCTCCAGGGGATCTTCCCCACCCAGGGATCTAACCTGGGTCTCCTGCATTGAAGGCAGATTCTTTACCATCTGAACCACCTATGTCTACTACATCTATACATGCATAAAAACATACCAAGCAGAATTGACTGGTGGAATAATTTCATCTTATAACATTTTGTTTTGATTTTTTAAAGTATTTTTAAGTTGATGAAATCATACAGAAGTTGAAAATCTAATTCTACTATTCACCATTAAGTTTGTGATGATAAAGAGGCTAAAACCAACCCCCCCACCCCGAAATCATTCCCCAACAGCAAGAGACACCGAATAACTGCTCAATTTAAATAATTAGCATTTTGATTATTGGCTCTGCAGTTTATCCTAATCAAACGGTTATTTTAAAGAACTGAAATAAAAACTTTAAGATGACCTCTTCAGTGTAATGATAGAAAATTAAACACAAATCATGATTTACAGCTTTAGAGCACTGGTAAAGCATCCAAGGTTATCTATCAAACTTCATTAATCCAACTTTCCTAAAAGCACTTTTCCTCATTTATTTTTTCCAGAAAACTATATTACTAGGCTGCAATTTACTGAATTAGGATCCCAAATATGTATGAGAGACAATACTAAAATCAGGAATACAAAGATAGTCTATCCTCAGTGACAATCTCAAATTTGGTCAGGGATTCAGATCTTTAAACAACAGATGGGTGCAAAGTAAAGCTTATAATAAATAATACAGAAAGAAAGAATCAAGGCTATGCCAAAAGAAAAGGATAAGGAGGTGTGCACTATGAACAACCAGAGAACAGGAAAAAAGCAGTCTCAGAAGATAACACACTAATGGAAAGGACAACAAATCACCAATGGTGTTTTCGGAAATGGTTAATAATTTAACGACTTTCCCCTCAATTTAAACAAAGCTCAAGCTTCTGATGAATCCCTGCCTCCTCATATGGGACATTTGGAACTGGAGACCCATCTTATCAACAGGGCCAATTGCCTCAAACTGTAGATATGAGTCAACAAAAAACACTCATTTCTTGTTAGTTTTAGTCAGTGAAGTTAAAACTGAAAGCTTAACTTACCTTCCTTGAAAGGAATCAGATAAATCACAATAACACATTATATATCTTTATATACAACCTTTAGTTATAAATTATATAATTTGCTGTGTAAAGCCCTTAACCCTAAACATAATGTGTCCACTCAATCAGGATAAAAGGACACTGAACAAAATAAGAATATGGGATCTCTCTAAAATATCTGAATGTGCACTAAATATTAATTCTTAACAGAAAATATAATCTACTTTCACGAGAAGTTTAGAATATATTTAAATTTTACTAGTAGCTTAAGAGGCAAGCTTACAGTATTTGCTAAGACATTGTTCTAAGTGGCTATGACGTATCCCCTTCAGCCGGGGTAAGAGGTACTAACTACAGTCAGAACCTGACTACAGTCTTAAAACGCGGGGTCCAGGTGGCTCACCCAGCCAGTGCTTAGGAAGCAGCAGAGCACCTACGGACGAAGCAACAGTCCAGCCTCCGGGGGAACAAAGGATGATGCATCCCAAGGTCAAACTTCGGAAACAAACAGTTGATTATACAGAGAAAAGCACTCATTACTCAAATGTAACAAAGGCCCGGTATTTTCCCTTCTTTCCTAAGGGCACTTCTAACTGTCCCTTTGCCATCTAAAAGGGGAAAGAAGTAAAAACAACAGAAACGGCCAAATTCTAGCATTCCTGCATCAGCATTTGTCAAGCATAAATTGAAAATGAGGGAAATGTAACTAGAGAATCTAAAAAATTTTAATAAGTGTATCAGAAAAAAATATTCAACAACGTATTATATCATAGTAATATACACATTAACGCCAGGATATGCAATTTAGATGCTCCTAATAACCAAAGTGACAGGAACACTATTCTTAAATAAAAACTTAAAAACTACCAAGACTGTAAAATACTAGAGGCTGGTTTCTGAAATATAGAGGGAATAGAAATTTGAGAGACAATTCTGTAACAGAAGAGGAATAAAGATTATCTATTTGAAATTTCTTTTTTCTTCTTCCCAAAATCCTTAAGTTTTCAAACCAGAATGCTACAAAATTTTGCAGACCTGCAATCCAAAGATTAAACAAGTATTTCTCAAGAACCTTATCTTGAAAACTAAGAATACTCAAGACACAGCAACAGATGCCCACTGAGTTGAGGGAACACCAAACAGGCACACAGGAGACGCTACAGTACTAGGATAGAAATGAAACATGGAACCCAGACTCGGATTTGGCTCCAATCTACAACTTAGCGGGCTTCCCTTGTGGCTCAGCTGGTAAGACTCTGCCTGCAATGCGGGAGACCTAGGTTCGATCCCTGAACTGGGAAGATCCCCTGGAGAAGGGAACAGCTACCCGCTCCAACATTCTGGCTTGGAGAATTCCACAGACGGCATAGTTGCAAAGACTGTCACATTCGTTCATTCAAGAACTATTATCTCCTGCAATGGGGCTGTTTCATGAGTCAGAAACTGAGACTATACAGTCATTTAAAAGCTGCTGAAGAATCACGACGATGAAAATACCAAATAAAAGACAAGCCTCCTCCACCAACCAAAAGTGATAAATAGCTGGGACTCCAACTGGCCTCATTTTACCTCAAGTGCGCTTTTCTAAACTTGCCTACATGCAACTGAAGGTGAAATTTAATTGTAATGTTAACTTTAAGTAGTTCAGTTGCCAAGAAATGTAATATTCTGACGAATCAAAACATTTTAAAAGATATTTTCAAACTAGAAGGCTTAAAAGGGGGAGGTGGTGGGGGGTGGTCAGAGAGTAGGAAGTGAACAGGCTTATAAATTTACCCAGATCCAATACTTTCCCTCCCAACTTCTCCATCAAAAAAGCATGAATTGAAAACATGTTTACAGTGAAATATCACAAGGGCTTTCCCATGGCTCAGCGGTAAAGAATCCACCTGCAATGCAGGAGACGCAGGCTTGATTCCTGGGGCAAGAAGATCTCTGGAGAAGGGAATTGCTACCCACTCCATTATTCTTGCCTCGGAAATCCCATGGACAGAGGAGCCTGATAGGCTACAGTCCATGGGGTCATAAAGAGTTGACATAACTGAGTGACTGAACAAGGACAATCACATTTCAAAACCATAACCAGCATTACTAAGCAGCAAGCAACTCATTACAAAACCTCTAAATCTTAAAATCTGATAGTCAAAATCTCTCAGATGTTACCCTTCTTAAAGGTTATCTAATACACTGTTTTTCATTGACAACAAAAAATGTCTTTGTATCAGGTGTGTCCATTCCTCCAGACAGTTCAAAACCCACCAGAGATGCCGCACTGACACCACCACTGCAAACAGCAGCCTGGGACAGTGGTCAGCTGTTACTATACATCAGCAGTTCTCAAACTTTGGGGTTTTCAGGAGTCTCTTACAACTCATGAAGACTTCAATAAGCTCAGGTTTATGTGGATTGTCTTCACTGTTTACGGCATTAGAGATTACAACAGAAATTTCTTTAAATGCTAATTCATTTAAGTAACAAGAAATCTATCATATGCCAACATAAATGATTTTTTGAAAAATAATTGTTTTCTAAAACCAAAGATTTAGTGAGTACAGCACTATTCTACATTTTTGCAAATCTCTAATTCTGGTTTAATCAAAAACAGCTGGATTCTCATATCTGCTTCTGCATGCAATCCTGATAAATTGTTTTGGTAGATGCACAGGAAGAAAACCTGGAAATACACCACTGTAACTGGAAAGGAAGAGTATTTTAACAGTCTTTTCAAATAATTGTGGATATTCTTCTTTAATACTCCACCAAAAGGCCCCAAGTGGTAATTTCTTAAAGCCTAGTTACAATATGAAAGCAGAAACCACAGCAAAAAACCCTTTGTATTCTTGTATTAAAATCCATTGGTCCATCCCGCACTTACACCTGCCTTCCAAATGCTGACACATTTTAAAAAACAGAGTATTTTTAAAGTGTTCATTAAAATAAAATAAAGTGTTCATTAATATCACCATCAATCAAATCAGAAATATTTTTAATTATTGGGAGGCTGACAAGTTCACAATGGCAGAAACAAGCATTACGTAATTTTAAGTTTTGCTTGAAAGCTCAAATTTTATCACTGACTACAAACACTGTCAGTTGTTTTCCTTAAAGACAGACTCCATTTTCAAGTAGATGCTAAGTCGTCAAGTATGAACATCATGGTTCATTACTTGTTCTTTCAGGTAAAAACAGAACTCCATGAGAAAAGCACTAGCTTAGCTCACAAATCAACCAGGTGAGCTCTTCACAAAACCACCATCCTTCTTTTTAGCAGTTTTATGTGTACTTTCCATTTTATCACAACATATTTAAAAGACAAACTCAAGGGTCAAGAGTCTTAGTAAAATTAACACTTTTACTGTTTCATCAAGGACTTTTTTCAAACTGTGTGTCTGTGTGCTTATGTGTAGTGAAATAACATAAAGACAACAAGTACAAGGCACCTCTGCCTTGATTCTTCCTAAAGCACAAGCATCATTACCCACCACTACTTTTATCCTACACTGGTGCAAATACCAACAGACTAAAAAAGACAACATCTCAACACTGTGAATAGTTTGGATTTTATGTACTCTAAGGATAAAAGACCCCCAACGTCCAGACTTCTATAGGCCACTCTGAAAATCACTGCTACACAATATTACTATCCACCAAAAGGTCCCAGTTCTACCTATTATCACTACATGAAACTACTCCAATCCCCCTTTTGTGACAACCCCAATATTTGGAAGAAAAGCTATTGTCTCCCACCAACTCTCGCTAAATATCTCTTCCAATAATGTCCTACAAATGTGGCATGAGTGTTAAATCATTGATAATGTTTATTCTCCTTGAAGTCTTTTCATTACCAGTGATAGCCAGAAGTGAGTTGGGGGGAAA